CAAAAGGTATGGGGGGAGGAATATAGCAAGCACAGGTCCTGAGTTTGATTTCTAGTACCAATAAAAAAAGAATGAAGGGATAAAAGAAAACTAATTGTCCTAGAAACCAAAGGCATAAGGAATAAATATACTCACTCTGGTAAATCAAATAGACTTTTTTAAAAAGAGGAATGGAAGTCTCCACATTCTTTTCACATCCACCTACCATTGGGTTTGTTCTGTCACCCACTTAGGAAGTAAAGGTCACTCACACTTGTCACAGTAGACATCCAAGAGAAGAATCCTAAAGAAAAAAAAGTGAGTCCGGTAGACTAAGTGGGAGGAAAAGCTCTGTCTTGAAGTAGGATGACCCCATGGCCTAAGGCTTTGAAAGGACTAAGTATTTCCCATATTGCTCACCCTAATGTTACCAAACTGCTAAATAAGGCTGGTGGGAAAGGCAAACATAAGCCGTGGTATGCAGGATCCGTGCATGAGGCTCAGGGCTAAGGAGATGGGTTGCTGGGGAAGCAGCACCAAGAGCAAGGGTGCTGGGAGCAATGTCAAGGCCAGGAATTAAGACTGCAAAGGCCAGGAGTGAAATAAGACCAGGTGGTGGTTACACGGTGAGCAAACCTAGGAGTGTGATGTCTGGTGAGTGAGACCAGAAGGCAAGGCCGAGCTTGCTGGTTAATCTCTGCAGGGTGCAGCTAAAGGGCAAAGGAAGGCAGGTTGGCCAGGAGGCATAAGACTGGGCTCTCTCAACCGCCAACATCATGCAGAATGGGCAAAACCAAAGCTTTCACTCGAAAATCAGGAACAAGACAAGGATGTCCTCTGTCACCACGGCTAGTCAAAATACTTCTGCAAACATTAGCCAGAACAATTAGACAAGAGAAAGACATGAAAGGAATGAGGATAGGAGGAGAAGTTAAATTATCAATATTTGAGGATGACATTACACTCTACATAGAAGACCCCAAAAATTCTATCAAAAGACTTCTAAATTTAATAAGCAAATTCAATAGTGTAGCTAGACACAAAGTCAGCATTTAACATCAGTAGCCATTCTGTATACAAAGAACCAAACTCATTGAGAGAGAAATAGGGAAACACCTTTCACAATAACGTCCAAAAAATGAAATACCAAGGAATGAATCTAATGAAGGAAATAAAAGATCTTTACATAGAAAACTACAGGACTCTGAAAAAGGAGATCAAAGAAGATACCAGGAAATGAGAAGATATCCCTTGCTCTCGGACAGTTAGAACCAATACAGTGAAAATGGCCATACTCCCAAAATTGGTTTATAGATTTACTACAACCCCAATCAAAATACCAGTAGGACATCTCACAGAGTTAGAGAACACAGTCCTAAAATTGATCTGAAACCAGAAGAGACCTGTCTAAAGTGTATCAATAAAAAGTTATTTAAAGGCAAAAAGGGGGGGAAAAAGAAGGGAAAGAAAAGAAAAGACTGGGGCCTCTGTACAGTCTCTGCGAGGGGGAGAACCCCATGGGTGCCTTAAACTAAGGGAAGGGGATTTGGTGGAGCAGCTCAGCGTGGATCTTGAGGTCTGGAGCTGGCTGGGTAGAGCAGGATGTGAATCAGGTCACACAGGCAAGGAGACCTGCCTTTGACCCAATGTGTAGTCAGGTGAGTCAACAGAGAAGAAAGGGCCACAGCTTAAAGCGGGAGTAAGTTACAGGCATAAACTCTGTCAGGGAAGCTTCCGGCAGGAGGATGGGCAGGTTTGGGGTGGAGGATGAGTAGGACCTGCACGTCTTCTTGGATGAGAACCGAAGGGACTAAATGCACCTGGGTAATTCAGGTGCATGAGGCCCGGAGGTTACGTGCTGAGATCCAGTGCCAGAGACTGGAAGCCAGATGTGGATACATGGGTAAGGCCATAGGCGCAGAGCACACAGTGCGCAGGGACTAAGGAGCTTGGGTTCAAGGGCCCACATAATAAGAATGGGTCAGGAAAATGGAAATTTAGTCTAGAACAGACCAGGTGGCAAGGCCAAGGCCTAAAGCCTGCTGTGTAGAGACAGGGAACCAGCAGTGCTGGGTTTTGGGAAGGGTGATGGGTTTTGGGAAGCCATTAAACATTGATTGTTTAAGTCCAGAGTCTTAACTTGGCCTTAGGAAGACTGCAGGGCAATGCTAGGGGTGAGGCAAAAGCAAAGGTCAGGTGGATAAAGTGACAGGAAGGCAGGTGCTCAAAGGACTTGAGGTGCAGGGATGTGGGGGAGGTCATTAGAGAGCAGGTACAGTGGAGCTGGGGAGCTGAAACTCGAGGTGTTAGCCAGCAGGACAAATACTCTAGTTTGACTGATAAGTGAATGAGATAAGCCAGTGAGGAGAACATAAGAGGCCGCAGTGTAAAGCCGGGTGTTTGAAGACCCATGTAAGGGCAAGGGCTGCAATGGACACGGGGATGACAGGCAGCTGAAGTGGACATGAGGCTTTAAAGGTGCTACAGAGTACACTGTACTGGGCCAGTGAGTCCACACATAACTGAGGTGCAGTTAGAGGACCGCATGGCAGGGTAGATGGGTAGGCCATGGGTCTACGGTTTAGGGTATAGAGGGCAGGCATAAGGGCAGGTACAGGAGCACTAGGAGCTGGACCTCTATGGGGCACAGTAACTTGGGGAACCCATGAAGCACATATGTCAGGCCAGGACGTTTTACAAATGGGCCTGAAGTCAGGAGGTAACAGTGGAAATCACTCAACGCCAGGACAAAAAAAAAACCAAAGCTACAGCCAGATGTGTAGACGCTGGGTGGGACCAGGGGCTGTGAGCTTGTGGAATCTGCCCCGGGGCCACAGTGGGTGGGGTACAAGTACCCGGGAACCAGCGGTGCAGCAGATGGCAGAGCTCATGCCGGATGTTTCGATGTGCAGCACTCGGACACGACACTGGGTAAGGGAGGAGGCAGTCGCATCAGGACTGGTGGCTGAGGTAGGTGTGGGGGACATAGCACAAAGCTGGGGGTATACAGAGAGGGCAGGTGGTACAGGATCAAGGGAATAGGAACAGAGGACTGGAAAGAGGCTGGACTGGGCCACTCTGGTAAGGAGACACTTGGGCCAAAAGGTAGAAGGCCATGGAGGCCAAGGCCAGTGGAAAGATACGTGCTGACAGGAGTTCAGTCAGGCTGAGAGCTTGGACTGTAAAACCAACCAATGAAATGGAAATGAGAGAGCTGGGAGCACACTAAGAGGTCTGTTTTAGTACAGCTTTGGTCACACCTAAAGCTAGGGCACTAGAGAGCTTGGGAGCACAGATGAGGGCCATTAGGGCAGTGGTGCTGGTGAAGTCATCCAGGAAAGCTACACAAAATGTCCTGCATCAGTGAGGATTAGGGGTGAACTACATCTGTCGGTGGAAGACGGGGTAAGGACAAAGCGGGGACGCAGCTGGCTGTGGCGCTGGGGAGGGATGGGTTCCACACGTATGAGGTACTCCGAGCAGACACGGGCTGATGGGGCACGGGCATGGGCATGGGTGTCAGTGCTGGGCGAGCATGGCCCGGTCCCAGGTGAGGAAAGGTCAGACCAAGAGAGGACTCTGGCTGGGGGTGCAGCTAACTAGGACCTGGTGGCCTAGGCCGGGGAGGTGGGGGGTAGGGCTAGAAATGAAGGCCACAGTGAAGCAGCAGGTGGGGACAGCAGGGACTCTCTGGAGCATGGGGCGCTAAAGCCAAGGGCACCAAGGATGCAGGCTTCTGGGCTCAAGGACGCGATGGAAGCAGCAGCACTGATCAAGCAGGGCTGGGGCCAGGGTGCCCCACACTCATCATGGAGCCATCCTGCGTTGGTGTGGGACTGGGACCAGGAGCCTCAGTAAGACCTGCAGTATCCAAAGTGTGGAGCTTCTGTTCAGTGCCTTCAGGGAGGAACAAGGCTCCCGAGGCTGTCTAGCTAGGGTGTCATGGTACTAAAGAAAGAGTACTGGCAGTGGGGTGGGTGCAGACTGGACAGGGTGGATGGCACAAGGCAAACTGGGCATGGGCAGGGACAGGACCGAGGGAGGGGATGGGGCCCTTGGGCCAGGCATCTAAGTGTGGATTACCTGGGGTGGGCCGAGATACTCAAGTGCCTACAGGTGGTGAGCCAGGAACCAGTAGATAAGGCCTTGCGCTAGGGCATGGCATGAAGCCAGTGGTAAACCCAAGGCTGCCAAACCAAACCAAAACAGTAAAACCAATCAAAACATAATATTGAATAAAGCGAAACAAGAACTTAGAACTGCAAGTGGTGATGCATGCTTGTAATACCAGAGGCTGAGGTTGGGCGTTTGCAAGTGGGAACCAGCCTGGGCAATTTAGCTGCTTAGCAAAACTCTGTCTCCACATAAAAAATAAAACGGGTTGGGCATGTAGTTCAGTGAGGCAGCTCTGGGTTCAGTTCCCAGTACACCCCCCACACACACACACACACACACACACACACACACACACACACAGAAAGTTGTTTTGAATTAACAATCACCACCACACCTGGTAAGTGATCTTGTTTCCTAACATCTTTTATTTTGCTGTTTAAGTTTTTACACTTTGGGTGTCTCATATATGAGCAATCATACCACATTTAAGCTTGAGTGTCTGATTTATTTCGCTCAGTGTTGTGAGCTCGGGTGCATATTTTTCTACAAATGTCTCGAATGTTTCCATTTTTATAGCAGAGGAGTACTCCATCGTGTATAAACACATTTCCTTTACTCTATTTGTCTCTTGATGGCTGGTTAGCGATATTAACTATCGTGAGATATGAGTCGTGCTGCTATAAACATAGGTCTTTGTTTCCCTTCTTTCCTTCCTTCCTTCCTTCCTTCCTTCCTTCCTTCCTTTAGCCTCAAGCAAGGGCCAAATCAAGTAGAGCTCTCTTTGTAGACCTGGGCTCCCCAGTCTGCCACCCGCCCCTGGCAGTGCGCGCCCCTAGGGGTCATCTCGCGCCTCCAACTGCCTCCCAGCGCCAACTGCCACAGCTGGGACCGGGAGACCCAGGGCGCCACCATGCTGTGTCTGTTGCTCCTGCTTTGCGGGCTTGCAAGCCTGGGCGGTCCCCTGAAGAAATGTAAGTGGAGAAACCCACCTTGGAGCCCCACGGTGCAGCTGCTTGCCCTCTGCCTCCTAATGGCAGGGTCTCCGGAGCCTCCACGTCGCCTTTTTATGTCAGCCGAGCACATGCTGGATGAGGGGGACCCCGGAGAGATGGGAGATGCCACGCGTGCCTCTCTGGTGCCCCGGGATGGGATTCAGTCCCCCGCCCCGCCCTGGGAGCTGGTGCTGCGGTGAGCGGGAGGCCCACGTCCGCCCCGCCCGCAGGGGTCTGCACCGGAGCTGGGTCTGCTGCCCTGACGCTGCGCACCCACCCACCGCTAGCCGCCGGCTCCTTTCTAAAATCTCGTGGACGTCTAGAGGGAAAGGCACATGGAAAGGCAGTGAGGCTAGGGGGTGGCCTGCGGGGTGCGGGGATGGACCTTCCTCTCACACCACGTTTTGCACCTTGCAGATGTGGAGAATTCGGGCATGCAAATTACAGTTCCTGAGAAGATACGCTCTGTAAAACGCGGAAGCGTGGAATCCGAAGTAATGAGCCGCTCACTTCCTTCGCTCCTTAAAAATCGCATTCTGTTCCCTAGAAGCTAATTGTTGCTAAGCTTTGCGCCTCGGTTCCCTTGAGTAGAACTTGTGAGGGCAGAGAGGTAACCAAGATTAACAATGTTTCCTAGAAAAAATGGTGCAGCCGGGCTGCCTTCCCAACCTGTTATCCTCCCGGGCGTCTTTGCATATTCGCTGGCCTGACTCCTTGGAGAGCCCCAGCCACCACCGCCAGCCCGGACTGTAGATTAGCGCTACCGAGGTTCACTCCAGGTGCTATGAATTCCGGAGTGAAACACTAAAGATCTGCAAGAACATACAGGAAATGTTTGTGGAATTTTAGAACAGAGAAGAATTGGACAAGGGGAATGAGCATAAGTTCTTAAGCAAGGTTTTGAGGAATATCTAGATTTAACCAAGTAAATAGCTACCATGGGTAAAGTGAAAAATGCTTCACACTCACATTTTCCAACCCACTTACTACATAGAGTATCCAGAATACATTAGAAACTTTTACTATCAGTAAGAGAGCTAAGACTAAATTTATAACCAAGTATCAAGTTTGAGGGAGTGATAACATCAAACATTTGAGAAATGTACAAAGGCTTGAAGGTGGAATGGAAGACTGTTTCATAGCCATCACTGGCAAAAATTAAATATAAGAAAACAAAATGTGATTAGAGGTTATAAATAAAAAGGTAATCTTATATTCCGCTTGCCAACCATTTTGAAGGTCTTTCTTTCTTTCTTTCTTTCTTTCTCTGGTTCCAAGGATTGAACTCATGACCCTGTGCTTGCTAGGCAGGCACTTGTGCCACCGAGCTATATCCCCAGTCCCAGGGCTGTTTTTAAATTGCAAGTGAAATTGCAAAACCACTTAGTAGTTAGTAAAAGGTAACATGTCTGACTAAGATGCACATATTTATTGCAGCATTGTTTATAATAATAAAAACAGATAACTACAGGTCCAGTAGCAGGAGAGGGGAATAAATGCATGGTCCATGCCAAAAATAGAATATTATATTATTTTAATAATAAAATACTAAAAGTGACAGCACTGCACAGGTAGATGACAATGGCAGTGAACGTTTGCAATAGGTCTTCCTCTGTCGGAGCAGTGTCTTAAGCAGCAGACAAAATATCTCATGGAAGAATGACAAACCCTTGTTTAAATAAACATCTACAGCTTGCATAAATGCAAAATATGTACGAAAATGATAAGTGAAATTCAGGATGCTGGTTAGCTAGGGTGTAGGAATAGCTTCTTAATACTATTTGCAAATATTTGTAATATATTCTTTTTCAACATAATCACTGGTGATATGCTTTTTATCTATTTTTTAAATTTTGTATCCTTAATAAAAATTAAAAAATAAATTTCGTAGCCCTACCATATGTAATAATTAAAAATAACAACTAGTAGTGGCTTGTAGAGAGGACAAAAATGCCTTTTAAAAATATGCACAAAGTTGGGAGGCTGAAGCAGGAGGATAGTTCGAGACCAGCCTGAACTACATAGTGAGATTCTGTCTCAAAAAAATGGATGCTCACAGTTACTTTTTTCTATTTTTTTCATTTTCTTGGAGGTATCAACCAGTGCAATATGAAAAGAAAACAAATACCTAACCCTCATCCTCCTCATTCCCAGGAGCACCAGATGCGTTTCTGGTATTCCTGAGATTTCACAGAAGGATAGCGAGGCAGGAGGACCAGAGGCAAAGAAGCAATGTTAACTTTATTTGTAGATGAAATGATTACCTGCAAAATAGAATCTAAAATAACCTACAGGAAAATTAGGCTTAATACATGAACAGTGAATTTTCTATGCAAAATATCTTGGCTGTCAATAAAAAAATTATTCAGAAGATTTAATTTACACTACAGAAAAATCTAGATGCAAATAAAGATAACCAAAACCTCACCAAAAATAAGAAAAAGAGATGAGAGAAAATAAAGACTTTCATAAGTGAATTAAGTGCTTCTGATTTGCAAAGCTCAGTAATGAAAAGATACCTGGTCTCTGCCAATTACCCTAATGAGAAAGATATTTCTTTCACCAGATTCCACTTCTCAATCTTCCTGTTAATAAAATAGGTTAATATTGCAGGCTATGAACACATTGTTACTATGAACCTATTTATCGTGTTGTTAGTTCTTTTCTCTAGTGTATATAAATTTTCCATTGAATAATTCAGTTATATTCTGTCCACTTTAAATATGAGTTTTGCAGTGGTCTCAGATTGAATACATTTAAAAGTTAACAAGAAATCCCACCACCAATTATATTTTTCTACTTTTTTTTATAAAAGCCAAGATTTTAATATCAAATTACATTGAAATAAGTCAACACTGAATTCTGAGTTTTTCCCTTTATTGTAGTAATGTGATTTGCAATGTAATTAATGTAAAATGATAGGTTCTAACATTTCTTTTCTCTCTTTACTTTTTACGTGTACTTTTCTACCAGGTGTCCTACAAAATTGTAATTGAAAACACAACATATATAGTGAACCTAGTACGAAAGTAAGTGATCTTTGTTATCCTATAAACTGCCTTGCTTCTATTTATTATTGCTTGTAATTATCTGGAAAGTAATTATCTCACATTTTAAAATATTTGTGACTCATTTTTATCTTATTTTGTGGTCTTAAAAAAATCTCATACACCACTATAACAAATACCCAGTACACCCATCCTCCTGATGCTTGGAAATAACAGATTTATTCTGAGGTACCACTGAGGTTCCACAGAAGATAAATTCTGATAATTTTCTATCTTTCTGGAAGCACAAATATGGCTTGGTTTCAAATTCCCATGTATTCAGTTTATATTTGAAGGATATCAATGTGATGTTGGTATGAATCATGGCAATTTTGAAAATCAGGGTGCATACTGCTGTGTTTGGGGAAATAGCTCAGCAGCACAGCACCTGCCCAGCAAGCACAAGGTCCTGAGTTCAATTCCCGGTACAAAAAAAAAAAAAAGGCTGCATCCTGTGTCACAAGTATTGAGGGTTTAGGTAACAACTGTAGTCAGTCAGTCTCATTCTAATTTGAGGTAATGAATTTTGGGGGGAAATGCACACCATATGGAGCAGCAAAGAAAAATCAAAATTGAAATGGTCTTCGCTTAAATGATAAGAATAAATTGCAAAAAACGAGAGACAGAGCCTGCAAATAAAGTCCAAATCGGTATGAAAATAAATACACCTGCATCATTTCTAGAATTCATAAGTGTGATCCTCTTATACATCATAAATTTTTAAACCAGGCATAGTGGTGCATGCCTATAATTTGGGAAGCTGAAGCAGGAGAATGGCTGCAAGTTCGAGGCCAGCCTGGGCTACATATTGAGTTCAGTGCCAGCCTGAACTACATGCTGTGTGAAACTCTGTCTCAAAAAACTTAAGAAAAAGTAACAATAAATTTTGGGAAATGTTTCCTTACATGTAAGATAAATGGTACTGGCCTGAAGGAAGACACTGAAGTCTCCTTCAAAATTACTTGTGGAAAAAACTTCCTGCATTTTTCTCAATAAATACACAGGGAAATTTTAAAGAGTATCTTCCATCAGCTGTTTTCAAATACAGGACCTAAGAGGTGGGCCGTGTGACCCAGTCGCAAACAGACTATAAGTACCTCAGCACTGCAGCATAATACTTCCTTATCAGTCTTTAATATAGGCTGAAATACGTAAAGCATAACAGATTAGAAATGGAAGATCTGAATTAAAATAAAACCCACACTACAATTCTTAAGTCTTGTCTCTTTATATTATTAGAAAAAGGTACAGAATATACAATATGATTATTAGTATATAACTGATGAATATATAATTGATCATATTATGCAATTTACAAATAATCCATGTTTTCTTCAAAATGCATTAAAGTGAAAACAGTCACATAGCAGAACAAAAATCTCAATGGCTAGCGCAATAAAATGAGAGCATAATCACAAATGCTTAATCAAAGAAGCACGTGCTCTATGGAAATTCAATAATTGTTGTTAAATACAAAAAAATTCAAAGCAATGAAGCAAAATATCAGTAAAACAACAACAAATCGAAAAGAGCCAAAAAATCATTGCCCAGACTAACATCAGGAAGTACTCCAGTATATTTTCTTCTAGTAGCTTTATAGTTTCTGGTCTTACATTAAAGTCTTTAACCCATTTTATTTGATTTTTGCATTGATGTGAGACAGAGGTCCAGTTTTATCCTTCTGTATGTGGACCTCCAGTTTTCCAAACATAATTTTTTGAAGGGACCATTCTTTCTCCATTGCATGTTCTTAGCAACTTTCTAAAATACCACTTGGCTATAAATGCACAGACCGATTTCTCAGATCCACATTCTGTTCCAGCAGGCTCTGCAGCTGAGTTTGTGTCTGTGCCCGGCTGCTTTGACGATAGCCTTGAAATCAAGTCCAACCCCCAACTGCGAGCTTTTGACTCAAGATTCTCCGGTCCCTTGGGGAAATTTCACAAGGCGAAAGCTCTACACTGAAAAATCCTTTTTCCTGCCAACCTACCTATCCGTAATAAATCTAATAAGTATCTTTTCCAAAAGTTTAGGAAGCAATTTTCACATTCAATATTTTAACTTTTATCTTCACAGAATGTTTTTACCTCATGATTTCCAAGTGTATAGTTATGACAGTGCAGGGATTATGAAACCTTTTGAAGACTATTCTCAGGTATGTTTTGGCTTTTTTTTTTTTTTTTTTTTTTTTGGTCTGCATTACAGACAGTTAATTGTGTGTTTTATGAAATGAGCTTTTCTGATATGCGATTTGAGGGCACACTGTTCTAGAGAAGAAAGGTTAAGGTTTTGTTTTGTTTAAAACAAACATCGTCATTTTCTTTTGATGATGTATACTCAGCCATGTTAAACAAATGACTAACAGACCAAGTGCGGTGCTGATACTTGCAGATACTTGTTTCCAGATGGTGTGCATGGGTGAGCTTTCTTTCCTTCTGGCCACAGGATTTGAATATGATATAAAATACTTGAAAAGAAAAATGATTATTTGAATCAGGGAAATTAAATCTGGAAAGAAAAGGGCAATCTAAATTGTCCTCTGAAAAAATAGATAAATAAAACAAAGTATCCTCTGAAATATGTCCAGGGATCACATAAGCCCACATCAAATTAGGGTAATATATGCAATTAACTAAATGCATTAAAGTAAAAACAGTGCAGTTGGTAATATATTAAATTTCGATATACTGTACTTGGATTGGAACATTGAAACTCTTATTTAATAATGTCTGTAATTGGTTTTTTGTTTGTTTGTTTGTTTGTGGTTTTTTTTGGTCAAAAGTGACCTGGGAAGGTGGACAAAGTTGCAGAGAATTATCTTGCCTTTGCCCTGCTGTCCAGATTGCTGGGTTTTTCTCTTTTCCATTTGTATTTCCAATTTCTATTTAATGAGTTCATCATTTATAGAGGCTAAGATTTTAACAGAGGAAATAATAGGCATAGTCCTTACTTTAAATTTTGTCTGTGAGCAAATATATCAGAGTCAATGAAAATATATAAATAATACCTATTGTTAAATAATGTGCTATACACACATAAGTATTTGTGTATGTAGATGTATAGAGAAGAGAGAGAAAACGGGGGATATGAAAGAGATACAGAGCTGTAATACCCCTGTTATGGCTCGTATCTAGATGTTCGCCCAAAGCTTCATGTGTATAAGCACATGATATTTGGGGTTTTTTCAATTTTTATTTGTGTACTTGTTGTTTGCAGGATACCAGCACTCAAACTCGGGATCTCAGGCTTGTCAGGAAGCCACTGTGCCACTGAGATAAATCTCAGGCTCATAAATTGGGATTTTTGAACCTGTATGGGTCTAGGGTGTGGCCCTGGAATTTAGGGTGGGTGGAATGGAATGGAATTAGCACAGCTCTGGGTGGCATCACCCTAAAGGCTGGTGACCTGGGTAGGATAGAAGCAGGGAGGCAGCCTGGCCTTTTGCCCACCATGCCACGGACTGTTTCACCTCTGTGCTGTCCCTTTGCTATGTCACTTTGCCTTGGAACCAGCTAACTGTGACCGGAAAGCTCTACCAACTGTGAACTAAAATAAAACTTTCCTCCTTTAACTTGTGGGTGTTGGGTATTTTTGTCTCAGCAACAAGAAAAGTAAGACAATCCCATACTTAAATTTTATATTACTCTGTCAACTCCCAGGAGGTAACCATGTGAGATAAACATAACTAAGAAAGCCAAAAGAATGCTTTATGACTGCCTTATATGGTAAATTGTTGAACTTACAATGGATGGTGTCATGTAGATAGGTAGTGTTTTTGCCATCACTGCAGTTGCAATTGTTTTTTTTTTTTTTTTTTGTCTTTTTCCTTTTTATCGGTACCAGGGATCGAACTCACAACTGCCTGCCTGCAAGGCAGGCGCTTATGCTACTGAGCTAAACCTCTAGCCCCTACAGTTGCAATTCTAATCCAGGAAAAATCAAGTCAAGTAAAAATAGGTAAATTTATTAAATTATTTGTTTTCTATAAGTCTCACAAATGATACGTATCCATAAATCATATTTTTTTAAAAAATAAAGACATTTACTCAAGAACAAATCAGCCAGCTGGCTGCCGAAGGCCTGCCCTCCTGATACCATCGCAGTGGATATTTTCAAGGAACATAAATACAGCACACAGGGAGTTTCTATTACCCGATTTTTGCTATTGTTGTTTTTCAATTACAGGTCCTGTTTCTTGTCTTGTCTTGTAGTTTTCATTGGAAATTAGACATTTTAGATAATGCAGCCAAGCTGAACATGCCTCCAGTCCCCTGTGCATATAATCCACAGTGGCTCATTTGTTTAGTAAGTTGGGAAGATTATTTCAGTGATATTTATACAGCCCTGCCCTCCCAGCACAGCATGAATTCTCTGTTGTCACTTCCCAGAGAGCTACAGAGGGGTACACCCACAGGTACCCGGGGCGAAGTGGTTTGGCAATGTCCTCTCTGCTCTGGCCTCAGGTACCTTTCAAACTCTGCTACCCCTTGGGTGACTGCTGCCCGGACACAGCTTGCTCTGTAGTCTTAGCCAATCGAATTGGGTTGCCAGTTCTGTGGGTCTGTGGTTGCTATTTGTTTTAATCCCAGGAGGGCTTCACATACCCAATAGCCTCTAGGAGGGGTCCCTATATTCAAGGGATCAATGATTCTCCCACCCACAGTCGGACCCTAACCAGCTCCATTTGGACCGTGTCTTTAGGTTTCCACTTCTCTGCTTCCTCGGGAATGCAGTGCTCCATCTGGGATGGTGCTGGGTACCTTCTGTCTGTTTCTCACACCAGGCATTGTCTCAGGCCGGCCCGGGAGGCGGTGCACTCTCTACCTCAGTCTGGCCAAGCTCGGGGGTCAGGAACTCAGTCTTTCCCTCAGAGAGTGGGATGGGGCTGATGTGGGTGCAGCCCTTCCTGTGCGGTGCTTGCATCCTCAGCTACATTTCGGGCTCGCTGTCTTCCTCCGGGTTAGAGCTTCTGGACTGAAAATGGTTCTGGAGCAAGAGATGGGACTGTTGCTTGGGGCTTCCTTGACCCAAGAGTGCTGGAGATGGCCAGTGCTTTCTTTGTCCTCTCCCTGTGGCAAATCCAAAGTCAGACACATTTGGAGGCTTTCTTGGGAGTTCTGCAGCTTCTTCGGCTGGCAGCTTCTCTGCCCTGGGACTGGAACTGTCCCTTTCCCCTCTGTTGCTGGAAATGCTCCGTCTTGGCCTTCATAGGTTTTTCGGCCACTTTTCCAGCTCCCCTGTGGCTCCAGCTTTTCAGGCTTCTCTTTTGCATCTTCTCAGCTCTATCCCTACCAGCACCCTTTGCCCTGGAAGCCATGAACTGCATCTCCCTCACCATCCAGTGCAAGAGACTGAACCGGGGCCTTCATGCTAAGCCATATCCCCAGCTCTTCTGATCATTGATCTATCGCCTGTCATCTATCTATCTATCATTTACTTATTTAGAGCCTGGGTCTTGCTAACCTGCCCAGGCAGGCCTCAAACTTGCAATCCTCTTGCCTCAGTTTCCCCAAGTGCTAGGATTACAAGCATGTGTCACCTTAAATTCACTGTGTAGCCCAGGCTGGCCTCGAACTCACAGCAATCCTCCTGCCTCAGCCTCCTGAGTGCTGGAAGTACAGGTGTGCACCACCACGCCTAGCACACCCAGCTCCCTGTTCACTCTTAAAGCTTGTTTTCTCTCAGCTGTCTTAGGTTTGGCAATTAGCATAGTCTGATTGTTAAGGGTTTTTTCTCTTAAAGCTTTCTTTTTCTATCTACAGTGTGTAGTAAAACACAGTAAATATTTTTGTTCTCCATGGCTGTTTATCCTCTATACTTCACTGATTTTCTTAGTTGATCCCTTATATGCCCAGTATTTTCCTTTTTGTTCTTCATCCCAAATTTTAGTCATTTTTTAACTAATTCCAAAGCCTTAGGTTATTTTAGATCAGTGTCTTTCTGAATCTCTCCAAGGTATAGGCTACATCTTCTTTTTTAAAAGAAATCTAATATATATTATTATTCAATTGAACCTAGGGGCACTACCCTGAGCTGTATCCCCAACCACTTTTTACTTTTCATTTTGAGACAGGATCTCAAGCTTTACGCTGCCTAGGCTTGCCTTGAACTTGTGATCTTCCAGCCTCATCTGCCGGAGCAGCTGTAAGGAGCTTCCCGTCACACCCCAGCCACATTCAGCAATCCGTGATCCACGGCAGCGCTTGTGAAACTTTCTCTAAAGAGCTGTCAGGGGAATCACCAGCGGCACCGGCAGCTCCCAAACTCTGTCCCTAGCATTTGGGGATGCATAAGCCTTCTTCCTTGTTTGTCGGCCTTTGTGGTCTTGGTCTCAGCTTCTGCGAGATGGCACATTCTCAGTGCCAATGTAGTTGCAGAACGGGCACCTGAGATAATAGTGAGCATTGTCCATTCATCATTGTGAGAGGGTTAGTCTTTTTTTTTTTTTTTAAGAGGAAAAAGAGAAAAACACAAAACAAAACAAAGCAGTGTAAGGTTACACATAATACAGAACTACAAAAAAAAACATAACAGTAAGAAATCACCTGTTAATAGATTACATATTATCATCTTGACTATTGTCTCCTTTGGAAGTCCTGTAATGTTCACAATGCCTAAGTTTTATTGGTCTTGTTCTCCACTGTTTTGTCCAACTTTATAATATCTAATGAGAGGGTTAGTCTTTACAAGTTACTCTGCCATTGCGTTCAAATTAGTTGGGGGCTTTTTGTTTGTTTGTTTGTTGCTTTTTGAGACAGAGTCTTGCTATTCAGTTCAGGCTAGCTTTAAACTCACAACGAAACCTACCATTGTCCTCAAATTTGCAGTGATCCTCCTGTCTCAGCCTCCCCAGTGCTGGGATAACAGGATATGCCACCACACCTATCTCAAATTACTTCTGAAAAATAAATTATTTCTCCTTTGGATTCATTTTGCTTTTCTTTCCATGCACGATTAACTCAGAAGAATACCAAAAAGTAGGTTTTTGATCAGTTTTTTTGTAGTAAGCTAGTGATTAGGAAAATCATATTTAATTTATACCATATGAAAAACTGTGAAAGTAGCCTCTTTCTTTATGAACCTGTAGGAAGAATTTTGGAAAATTGAGCCATATGTTCATCTAATCACTTTATAAATTGATCATGGAAACGATAAGTATTTGATGAACACACAATATATGCTTTAAATCTCTGAAAAGAGTGTTTCTAGCATGAAGTGTTCTAATGCATATTATATGTATTTTGTCTTTATCTTTCAGAATTTTTGCTACTACCAAGGACATATTGAAGGTTTTCCAACGTCTCTGGCGAGCATTAGCACATGTGCTGGACTCAGGTTGTACTATATGAAATTGCATGGATGATAAAATAGGTTAAATTATTTTTCATGATGAGCCCTCCCCTTACACTAAATTATTTGTATACTTGGAGGCCATCAGATATTAATATCTTGACAAACACAGTCACATCATAACTCCGCATCTGTCAGTGAGTTTGAGAATAAGTCCATGGTAACTTTCCTGCCTCGCCTCTTGAGAGTAAGGCTAATAATATGCATTTGTTGAAAACTAAGTGGCATGGAACTGTCGTTTAAAAATGTATCATTCTACTTACACATTTTCTTTTTGGAATCTGTAGGGGCTTACTGCAGTTTGAAACTGTTAGCTATGGGATTGAACCACTGAAGTCTTCCATTGGTTTTGAACACGTGATTTACCCAGTAAAACATGATAATGAAAAATCTCAATATCTTAAGAAATCTATTAATGTCAAAAATGTGGTCTATAAAATAAAAAGTATAAAGGTAAGTATTAGTAAACTGCAAGATTGTCATTTCACAGCAATATAAATACAGCAATACACTAGCTTCTAGTGTATAAACGAGTTATTTAAACAACTTAAATAAACAAGTTACTTATTTATAACCTTCCACACAGAGAGAAGTCTATCTCTGTATATGCAGAAAGGATAAATTAATTAATAGATCTTGAAACTAGTTTTGCAAGGTTCCCTGTAGTGCTTAAGTATCTGTATTTTTAGTAGTGGTCTCGCATTTCTGATTTCATTATTTTAAATATTTTCAGTTTTTTGTAATCAGACTAGCTAAAAGTATTTCCATTAAAATGTGCTCCAGTAAAGCCTATTTCCAGTAGCATGCTATGGTTATTTTAACTGTAAATCAGGTCTGACCATTTTTTTCTGAAATAGGTTATTCATTGCATGTATTTTAATGCACATATGTACTATAACATGGATTTAACCTTCCTCTTTGTCATTTTTTGTCTTATATGATCCATATTCCTTTATTTTTTCTCTTTACATTATTTTTATTAAAATGTTTTATTTTCTTTTCCTCTCCTAATAAGGCTTTAAATGATAGCTTCATATATTTTATATTTATACATTACATATTATGAAATAAATATAAAATATATTTTCACAATATAATAGCATTATTAGTTAATGTCATTGACAAATTATGGTTCTTGGGCAAAATCTGGTCCACAGCTTGTTTTACTGAATAAAGTTTTGTTGAAACACACCCATTAATACTAATATATATATATATATATATGTTTTTTTTTTTAATGTCTACTTTCAAAGTCAAATAGAGTTTGGCAGAGGCCTACAAAGAACTTTTGTATACCTTCACCCATTCTCACCATCTTTCTATTCAGAATATTTTATATAAATTGAATTATAGAATATGGTGGCTTTTGTGACTTCACTTTTACAGCTTTTTCCATTTATGTATTTAATTTTAATTAAATTAGGTAACTTAATTAAATCAGGTAAACTATGTTTATCATCGCATAATTCCATAATTCTTCTCCCAATTATTTTCCGTTGCATCACCTATAGCTCTACATCTGAGACCTTCTATTAATTTTATTTGCCTGCCACTTCTCCCTCTACTAATCCCAATGCTAAAAATTTGATCCCTAAATTTAAATGTTATTTTTTTCTCACTTTAAGTTATATTCCTGTAATTCTCAATAGAATGGCACCAGAATTTTATTTCTTTAATCATTTTATCCTTTTTAACATTTTAAAATTTCTTTCTCTGAAATTATTTGACTCCTCCACAATAAAAATACAAATAAAGAAAATAAAGTAGTATTTCTTAGTTATATATTTACAGTTACCCTTTCCTTCACTGCAAGCTTCAGATTACAGAAAAGGGAGATATCTTTCTTCCCTATACTTGCAAGAATATGGATTTTCCAGAAATACTGTAATCAGTGGTGACCCATTGCTGAACCAGCTATTTGAAATGTTAAATCATTTTAAGAATAAAATACAACTCAAACCCATCAGAATTTTTAGCTCATTCTCTGCTCTGTGAAAATCCTCTTTTTTGTTTTTACTCTCTTACTTTTCCTTATACATTTGCACCTTAAATACTATTAACACTGTTTCTGTCTCAGGTTTAGCTTGTTCATCTTAGCATGCATTTTCCCATGGCTTTACATGGGCTTCCAGATCTTCCATTTCCACTCCAATACTGAGTTTTTGATCTCACATCAGTTGCCCAAATTTAAAAAAAAATACAGATGCACACACCACACTCTATCTAATTACTATTTATTTACTTTCCATCTTTGTGTTCCTTCCAAATCCCAGAATATTCAAATCTGTTATGTCTTGTGCCTCAGTGTCCCCCTGAAGCCTCATGCAGTTATGAGGTGTTGCTTTTTGGAGGTGGTGGATCCAGAGTGTGTGGTCCTGGGCTTTAAGTATATGGTCACTAAAGCATTCCATTGATGGTTTGGCATAGTTCTGACTAGGATTGAGGGTGTGAGTGCTACACCTGCCCTAGGGCAGGTAGCCTAGATAAAATATAAGACACAGAATGAGGAATAATGTACTCTCTCTTCCTGGTTGCCACCGACCAGTTCTCCTCTGGGATGCATCTCTACCATCCCACCCTGCCTTGGACTGAAACCTCTACAAACTATGAGCCAAGTAAACCTTACCTCTAACTTTGAATGTCAGGTGTTTTGTCTCAGCAATGAGAAAAGTAAACAAAACTAATGAATGTTTGTCTTCCAAATTCACCTTTAACCCATCTGCATTACTACTGTGTCAGCACAGTGGCACGTTCTCTAATCTGTTTGCCCACACCCACTTCTTCAGGAGAGCCGTCATCCTTCAGGGGGAGACATCTTTACCTACCACATGTGTGAGCATTCCCATGTCTTCCGTGACTACTTTGTCTTACTAAAGGAAATGACTTTTGAAGTCTTCTGAAATCTGGCAGCTGCCTAACTTCCCAGTAGATGTATTTTCTGGCATTCTCTTATGCTCTTATATTAACATTTTATTTACTTAGATAAAGTGGACTTCTTAGGTTTCTCCAAACAAATACATTTTTCAGTAAATAAATAAATAAGATTAAATATTACTAAGTTCCATGCGAGACTCGAAAATGGACAAAGATTTCTTCAGAGAATGTTAGATAACTGGTGCTTGGTGTTGGCTAAAACAAAACAAAAGAAGTTTATATTCTCTAATTAATTAATGTGGCCTGAATATTTTAGATTCAATAAAGTACTCATATTTAGGAGTCTAGTGAAATGATGGAATCTTACAAGCAAAGAATTTTAACTTTCCTATTTAAGGCATGAAACATTTGGTGCTTAATGTTGAATAAAAGCAGTAAAAAAAAAAAAAAAAAAACCACTAGAGCATAAAAGGATTTTATATGTCCTTAAAAATCAAAATCTTAAATTTCTAAGATTTGGGTCAGGACAAATACTTTTAAAACAGGTGCAGTGTGTGATGAATAAGCTCTGAATTTGTCGTCCTGATTTTTCCCAACTTTTCTTTAAGTCATTATAATCTGCAGTTTTCTGATCTCTACTCAAACTGCGGGTTTGTCACTCCTTTAATGCACCATTTCATACATTAAGGAACAAATTTTAGGTAATAGGAGATGGTTTTTAACTTTCAAGAGGTTAAAATACCAATGTAAAGCAGGAAGAGCTACCATGAGAATACATATAGTAAATGTTCTCTCAATTTCTGATTCTTTTCAGTCATCAGTGCGCACTCACTACATAGAAATGCACATTATAGTTGAAAAAAATTTGGTAAGTATATTCTGATTTATTTGTCTTATGTCACTTTTACTTTAGCAACTAGAAATTATAAAAATAATCTGAAATGAGTGTATGACAGGAGACGTAATAACTTTGAACTAGCTATGTTTTAATACATTTTAAATTATTTGTGTCAGCAGGAAATTAGGAATCAGATTTCTATAAATTTTTTCCTTAATTTTATAAAATAATGCAAATAAAAATACATGGTAGCTTTACACCAGTTTACAGATAGTTTTAAAATCACAGAAACTTCTTGCATGTACTGTTAACATTTAAAAAATTTTTTTAAATAATTCGTAATTTTTTGTTACTGAAAGAGAGAAAAAAATTTCTCCTTCATAAAAATCTTTCAGTAGTAGACAGAAAAGCAATGCTTTACACATGAGATGGAAGAGAGTGTATTGTTCCAGGTACTTCTTGAAAGATTTCCTCATGAAATGGAACTGCAGTTACTTGAAAGTTGGAATTCCTGAAGTAATTTCATTGTTTTTTTCCACCTTTTTTCTCAATTTTTGTAAGCAACTTCCCAACATTGCTTTTTAAAAATATACCATGTTTTCTAAGTTATAGTTTGGAAATTCCTCAAGGAAGTGCCTTCTGCCGTGGTCAGCAGTCAATAGACCTCAGGATGAGTATTTGTTGCGGGACTTCAAGTTCTGTCTCTCTGACCAGTATCTGCCACTGGGCTCACTCTGAGTGACTTGGGAACCACAGGAGTTACAGCTTTCAAGCCAGGAAGGCTAAATCTTTACACACGCATCCTCTTTTTGCCGGGTAGTTGCACATGTTCTTCGTGTAATCTGAAAACTAAACCCTAATCACACATATGATTTGCGCATCTTACAATTTCTCTGAAGGTTGTCTTTTATTTTCCTGATGTTAGTTGAAGCGTGACATTTTTAATTTGAGGAAAACAGTACCTTTCTCCATGGATCTTCCTGCTCAGTGATCTTCTTCTTCAATTATCATTGGTCCATCAATTAATTTATTCCTGGACACTCAATTCTGTGTCACTCAGTTAAGTCTAATCTGATATCAGGAGCTTGCTGTCTTTATGGCTTTGTAGTTATTTTTCAAATTGTGGTATATACTGTAAGTCCTTCAACTTTGTCTTTGTTTAAAATCTCTTTGGACCGTCTGTATTGTCAATTTTTAAAATAATGTCAGGATCAACATTCCAATTCCTCCATAAGTGGGAGCTGGAATTTTGATAGGTATTGCCTTGAATATACGTTCCTACCTGGCAAGTGCAAGACCGTGACTTCCATACTTGGTACCAGATATATAGAGAGGGCTCAATTTGGAAATTTTTGCCATCTTAATAATATTAAATGTTACAATCTGTAAACACAGAATGACCCTGAACTTCGTGGGGTCTTCATTTTTTTCTCTCAAAAAGTTAGGATTAGAGGTCTCATTGGACCCAGCTTCTTCTCTTCTGGGTATTTTCCCAGAAGAATTAAAAACCACAGCGATAGACGTGCTCCCATATTTATAGAGCACAATTTGTTAGGACTTTACTCTCTTTCAACTCTACATTTTGATGTTTGTCTTGCACTTCTTTGCTAAACTTTCTTTCCATTAGTTTAATATTTCTGATACTGTTATTCTCTTAATGTAATTGTTGGATTATTTATTGCTGATATATGAAGTACAATTATTTTGTGTATTCTCTGATGCTTTGCAAGCTTGCTGAAATCGTTTATTCGTTCTGATAATTTTAGTGGATTTCTTAAGAGTCCCTCCATATAAATCTCTTGTGAACAAAGAGTTTAACATCTTGTTTTCCCCGATGAATGTATATTGCCTCTTTCCCTTGAGTAAATGTCTTGGCCAGCACTTCTGGTGACAGTGGAATTAACACAGCATGAACAGATGACCTTGTTCCACATCTGAAGGAAACAATATAAAAATGGCATTGTGGGTTTTTCACAGATCCCTTTCATCAGGATGAGGAAATTCCCTGTGATTACTCAGGGCTTTTTTCGTGAATGGGTGGGTGTTTGGTCAAACGCTTAGTTATGCATCTGTACAAGGACTGTATGTTTTTGATTCCTTTTTCTATAATATGTTGTACTATTATAGATAGGTTTTTGGATGCCAAACCAAACTTACAATGCTGAAACAAGTCCCACTCAGTTTTGGTTCATAATCTTTTTGGGGTGTTGCACAATTTGCATTGTTGACATCTTGTTTAGGATTTGTCCATTTATATGCATGAGATATTACTTTGGAGTTTTGTTCTCTTACATCTTTTCTGATCTCATTGGTTGAGTTGGAAGGTGTTTCTTGCTATTTTCTAGAAGCATTTGGGAAGCCCCTGGCGTTAGTACTTAATTAAATATTTGGTTAAACTACTGGAGTCATCTGGCACTGGCTATTTCTTTTTAAAAAATTTTTACAAATTGTATTTTCTATCTTTTTATTTGTTGTATTTTCAACTTTTGGAGTCAGTTTTACACATTTGTGTCTTTTCAGTAGTCATTCATTGCATCTGCGTTACCTAGATTTTTGCATATAGTTGAACACAGAATCAGAGTTACATGTTTCTGGTCGGTAGTTCTAACCCTCTCATTAATAACTGTGGACTCCTCTCTTGTTCTCTCTCTCTCTCTCTCTCTCTCTCTCTCTCTCTCTCTCTCTCTCTCTCTTCTCTCCTTGCTAATGTGGCTAAAACTATTTTCTCATCTTTACCAAGAACTAACTTGGCTAATTATCTGCCTTCATTGCAAATGTTTTGGCTTTTATCTTTATTATTTTTCCCATTTTCTTTCTCTGGGTTTGTTTGTTTCATCTCCTTTGCTAAGTTCCTAGTGTGGGCGGTAGGGCTACTGATCCGAGGTGCCGCTCTCTGAAATGTTGCCACTTCCTGTCACAGTTCTGCTGAGTATTGGTTGCTCTTGTTGAGTAACGACGTTTGTTCAGCCGTATTTTAACTAGTGTGATGTTTCCTAAGTCCTCCTGGGATTTCTTCTTTGGTCATTAATTATTCATATTTGGTTCCAGATATTTTGAATTTCTCAAATTTCTCTTCACTTTTGCTTTTAATCGAATCCTATTATGTACAGAGAGCATATTTTGCTGTTTAAAAGTTATATTAATTATGTTCCGTGGGCATTGAGAAGAACGCCTGTGATGTTAAAAAGTTCTGTAGCTCTCTATGGACTTAGAACTTTAATCTTAAAATTTGTATTGATTTTCTTGGCCCAGTTTTCTTATTTTTGAAAGTTTTACATTTAAAGTCTGCAGTACTGAATTTTCTATTTCTCTTATCGATTCTGTCATTTTTCATTTTGTGTAATTTGCTGGCTCTGATCTTGGATAGGCATCTAATTCCAATTTTACAGCCTCCCAATGGATGAGCCAACTCTTATCACCAGGCTTTCCTGGTTACATTTTCAGCATTCTTACCACCAAAAAGTTCGTGTCCCTGAGAATGTACTACATCTCCTGTGAGCAGTTAATGCTTCTTGTCTGTTTCTTCAATCAGGTGTGACAGTTTCTGACATTTGCTTGTTGATTAATCCCATTCAAATTTAATTATGTAAGTAAGAAAGTATTTATGTATGTCAGAAATTTGGATTTGTTCTAGGTTTCATAGCTATTTTGGTTGTCTTTTATTATTTCCTTTTGCAATAAGTGGAAATTTTCTAGATTTTTATTTTTTTGTTTGGAGATAATTATTCATATGCAAATGCAAGAATACTCAGTGATTCTAATTTTTAAACAGTGTACTCTACAGCAAATATACAGTCCGGGTTTCACAAGTAATACAGTCAAGCTGTAGAATGTAACTGTGCTGTGTTTTATAACCACTCTTTCACCCCACTGCCCTTAGCTTCTGGGCAAATGCTACATGCGTGGACTCATCGAAGATGTAATATTACTGGAATTTTTCACACACCCATTCTAGAAGTTTCCTCAGCCTTAACTACTTCTTAAACAAAATTTAAGGCATTCTACCTTTTCCAGCTTTTAGAAACACCAATGTAGCCTATTCGAGTATTTTAGGGTTTTCAAGGTAAATCACATTGCTCTACTGGTTTATGATCCACTGGATCTTTTTCAGACACAGTCTTGCTATGTATTTCAGGCTAGCCTTAAATTCGCTATGTAACCCAGGATGCCATCAAACTCCAGGCAATCCTCCTGCCTCAGCCTCCCCAGGGCTGGGATTACAAGTGTGCACTACCACACCTGGCTGATTCACATTTCTTAGATTTGCTTCATTTTTTTTAGTTCCTAAATTTTATAGTTAGCTTTTCTCCTTTTCCTTTCTCTGTAGTTTTTGTTCCTGTTAGCTTTTAACTTTCTACTAATATTTCCATCATTGTTTAAGAGGAGTTTCAGGCACACCTGACTTTGAATAGATAAAGTCAGTGTATGATCTTTACGAGTTAGATTTTTCACCTTTGTAAAAATATATAGTCACATTTAAATCCTATAGTTTTAAGCTCTGCCAGATGTATTATCATTAATTTTTGACAGTAGGATTATACCTTATCTGTAGTTTTTAAAATTTTTTTTATTTTTCATTTTTCATACTACATACATATGATATTGTTTGCACATTGGTAATGCAGTGTTGGTAGAAACTGCTATGTTGATAATTATAACTATAATTATGTTATAATTAAATAAAATTTTTAAATTTTAAACTCTTATAATTAAACAGAATGGTCACAGTAATTGAATGTTAATAATGTATCTGTAGATCTAAAAGGCACTTGTATTTTTCAGTATAAACATATGGGTGGGAACACAGCGACTGTCACTGAGAAAATTTTCCAGTTGGTTGGCCTGATGAACGCTGTAAGTGTTTACATCTTTTTTTTTTTTTTTTTTTTTTTGGTCTTTTTTGTTTTTACTGGTACCAGAGATCGAACTCACGACTGCCTGCTTACAAGGCAGGTACTTATGCCGCTGAGCTAAACCCCCAGCCCAAGTGTTTACATCTTAAATGACTTTTGCACTTGCTCAGTTCCTAAAATAACTCTTGTATTTTCTTTTATGACACTGCTGGAATAGTCGTGTTTGTTGACGTAGGAGAGCTAAATCTTAGTTTCCTATCTGTGAAGTAGAAACAATGATAATTGTAAATAGGCAGGTGGAGGAAGAGAAAGGGGAATCATGGGATGAGTGGAAGGAGGAGAGAGGAAAGGGAAAGTGGGTGAAAAAGAAAGTAAAATATATTACGTACGTGTACCAGCTTCACATGAGGGATGTAAACCTGAAGTACACACACATAATGTCAAATTATTTATGTATTTACTTACTGTCTTTTTGAGACAGAATCTCACTATGCAGCTCAGTCTGGCCTTGAGCTCACTTTGCAACCCAGGTTGCTTTTGAAGTCCCAACAATCCTCCTGCCTCAGCCTCCCAAAATAAAAAATTTAGCTGGGTGTAGTGGCGCGTGCCTATAATCCCAGCACGTAGGAGGCTGAGGCAGGAGAACTGCTGTGAGTTCAAGTCTTTTTGCATTACACAGTGAAACTCTGTCTCACAAATATATACACAATATTTTAAAATGTGTTTGGCAGTACTGGAGGTTAGAGAGCTGAACATAGAACTACATCCCCAGTCCTGTCCCCGTCGCACTGAGTCTCTAAATTTCCCAGGCTGTGTTTGAATTTGCAGTCCTCCTGCCTCTCAGCCTCAAAGCATGCTGGGATTACCAGCATGGGCCACCACACCCAGCCACAGTTTGATCACTGTAAGGATTAAATGAAATAGTCCACTTGTCATGGGTTCTGCTGAAGTAGAAGCCTTTGCAAGTGTTCATTTGTACTTGCTTATTAGTATCCTTACTGCCTGATAGAAAGACCTGGGCCGTCTCACCATTCAGCATTTAGTATGTGTCACCATCCACTGCCACTAGGGTATTAGCAAGCCCACTGTGGCCATGCTGTTTGAACATATTCTCTATTTGTGCTCTGTTTCAGTTTTTTAGCACCTTAAATCTTACAGTAATTCTGGCTTCACTGGAGCTGTGGATAGATGAGAACAAAATTCCAACCACTGGAGATGTTAATGAGTTATTACACGCATTTCAAAAATGGAAAAAATCTTACCTGGTTCTGCGTCCACACGATGTGGCATTTCTACTTGTGTAAGCATATTTTGAAATTACCGAGGTTTCCACCAAGGGAACATACCACTTTGATCCAGTTTCTGATACCTGGCAGGTCTGTAGATAGAAGCTTTTTGGTGATTTTTTTCCGATATACTCCACCGTGTGAGTATGGTTTGCCACAGTGTGGTTATTGATCCCCTTCGTTTTATCTGGTGGTTTGGAGTGAAAGCTCACTTTTTCAATTTTAGAGCAAATGCCAGATTATTTACCACTTCATTAAATGTCCCTACTGTGCACTACATACCAACTGCAAACTTTTATCTGAGCTCTGTGAATACAGCCACCTTTTCTCTGCAGTCCAAAGACAAAACAAACAAAAACCCCGAAAAGATGGAAACACCATTATACATTTCAGTATAATACAAACATAGTGTAACTGCCCTGTGGTGAGGATTTCAGTGTGTAAGGCTGGTATTTAGCAAGCTCTTTGTGTTTCTCTTGTTAATATTTTCAAATATAAGCAATATATAAAAATTACACATGAAAAGGTAAAAGCTTCAGCTTTTGTAGGTTCGTCTCCTCCATCCAGATGTCACACCTCTGTCTGGCTCTGGTGAGCAGGTCTTAGCCAGCCCAAGAGGCTTTGGTCCCTAGGGATGCTGCGGGTCTGTCAGCTATTTTGCCTTAACTGTCTCAGTTTAAGGAATTTGAGGGTTTTTTTAAGCATATTTATTTTGAGGGATTGATTCATTTTAATCAAAAAAATCCAGCATACTATGCACCATTACTATGTATAGGAAGTCATATGAAAAGGCACCTTGTGTTTGTTTTCTAAATCTTTTTTATTATTTTCAAAAGATGCAGAAATACATGATAACCACTCCGGAGGCTGTGTTTACACTAATGGTGGGTGGACAGATTTATGAGTTTCATATAAGTGCACAAAGTTAAAATTTGTGCTACGAAAGCTGGGTATCGATTGGGCTGACTTGTACAAGTATATGATTATGACCCATTATAAAATTTAAGTTACAGAGAATCCCCCAGTTATATCGGAGCCATCTTTCAAGGAATGATATGTAACACGAGCTACGGGGGAGGCATTGCCCTGGTACAGTACGGTTTCATCTTTTTCTAAGACTTGTAGAGGATAGAATGCTGCGTGGGGGTGTATAAGAGTGAACATTTCCTGCCCTATTTCTGTGTAGAGTAAATTTGCCTTATTCTAAGGATTCTTATGCCTAATGCTGAGAAAATTTAACCTATCAAGACTCCTCATTGATCATAGAGGATTACAGTAGGTATAAAAATTTTACATGAGTCAGAAAGTATTCTTTTTAAGCAGTTAAGACGGTGATCTGTTTTAGTATGATTATTATGTGATATCAATTGTCATAGTTTTAGCATTGGATTGTGCATGTATTTTTTTAGATGAAATGTGTTTGCTTATTTTGCTAGCTAACTTAAGTATGAGCCAGATTAAGACATGTGGAACTATTTATTCCAGCAAAAAGAAAACTTTTGTTTTTGTTGCTTTTTGTGTGTTTTTGCCATGTCTGCTGGTTTCAGACAGGCGATCTATAATATTCTGTTCTAGCAGATAAGTTAAAGTGAAGTCAGCTGAAGATATAAACGATGAATCAATCAAGTGGAGATGAAAATCATTAAAGCTCATAAATCATAGTTTGGAGAAGCCAGCTTCTGTTTGTGGGCGAGCGTTCTATCCAGAGCTGGAGGGGCTGGCTCGATTGGAGCACATCAGAGCTCCTGCCGCTGACCAGGCACAAACAGAACCTGGCTGTCTGGAGGAAGGCTGGCTGCTGGGCAGGGCCGCCCTGCAGGGAGCAGTGGTCCCCCAGTGAGGGGACAACTCCAGAACAGCCTTTCATATTCTGTCCTATTTCCCACGTTTTGCTGGTGTAAAACTGCATGATCTTCCCTGGAAAAGTCAGCAGCAGCCAGTGTGCTGAGCAGGGAGGTGTGGAAGACAGTGGCTGAAGCCCTGCCTTCTGACAACCCAACGCCCTCCACCCACTTTCCCCTTAACCCTCCGGAACTGTGGGATGCAGTGGGGGTTGCATGCTTCACGCGTTATTTCTCCCTGAACGCTCACTCATGAAACCGCACCCCAAGTGGCTTTTGGTTGTGTAGAAGTGAGAGTAATCAGCATCTGATTTTTTTTTCAGTACTGAGGATTGAACCCAAGGACTTTCCCTGTGCTACCCCTGCAGGTCTTTCTCACTTGTTTTTTAGATTTTATTTTCAGTTAGGGTCCCAACAAGTTGCTCAATTGCCAGAATGGGCTCCTACCTGTAATCCTCCTGCTTCAGCCTCATAGTGCTGTGAGGATAGGCCTCTGCTCTCAGGCCAGGTGACACAGGATCCTTTTTAGTTTAAAAACACTTAATCAATCATTCAACGTATATGACATGCTGGTTATACCTATACATTATGCAGTGTTTGCTACAATCAAATTGATTACACATGCATGCATCACCAAGCATAGTCACCATTATGTGTGGAGGGGGCACTTGAAGTCTGCTCTTTCTCTGAAATTCAAGTAAGCAGCACAGTTCTATTTTCATTGCTGAATTCCCCACTAACACCTCCAGAACCTCACCAGGTTCCCTCATGCTGCAACATCCAGAAGAAGAGAAGTAAAGCAGGTTGAAAGGAGCTCACAGAAACTCAAAAGAAAGAGAAAGAATTGCATGCTAACAATGAAAGAAAAATAGCAGGGTGATAGGTTTGATTCACAACAGATTGCCAATTGCTCTATGATGATTTATTTGGAGTTTTTTTTTTTCCTTTCACAAAATTAAAGCAGTGCCTTTATTACAGAAAAAGGTCACATTTCTGACCTCTTTCTGGAATCTGTTATGGTCAAGATTCTGTTTGCCTGACCTCAAACTATACCATGTTGTTTAAATGACCATCGATTTATAGGAAGTCATGGAAATTAGTAGCACAGATTTTACTCATTTTTATTCTTCAGGACTGCATTAAGTATTCTTCTGCTTCAAAGTTAGCTTGTCAAGTTCAACAGAAACTGTCTGGAATTTTAGTTTAGATTGGGTTTGTAGGTCAGTTTGAAGGAGACTGACCTCTTGACAACACTGCGTCCTCTCCTCCATTAATCGGATAAACCTATTGTGGGATATTTAGATCCTCTACTGCTTCAGAGCAATCATATAAACTACTCAACACTAATAGTTTTCAAAAAATAAAATAATAAATATCTATGGTGCCATTTTTATGAAGCCAAAGTACAAACAAAGATCAATTACGGTACCAGAGTCAGGATGAAAGTTAGATTTTTTATGGGATGGACATCCCTAGAAATTTGATAGGGAATTTCCTGAGTGATGAAATGATCCAAGTTTTGTTCAGGGCAACGGTGACACAACTATGTGTGTCTGACACATGTGTGTGCACTTCACAAATACACGTGATATGTGTGCACATGTGGTAAGGACAAACTACACACAAATGTGCAGAAGGTGACTTGCGTAGCTCTCTTTCAAGGCAGAGCAATTACTTCAGGATTCATTAAAAACCAAGCCCTGTCTCCATGTCCTGATATGTACAGAGCTGGCTAGGCTATTTCCTTCTTTCTTCAATTGGCTCTAAGCAATGTAAACAGGGTTAGCTGAGGTACTGATGTGGAATCTTTGAAGTCAGCCTACAGTTGCCTGTGTCCCCGCATCTGTCTCCCATAAATGGTTGAGCACCATGGGATGGCAGAGCCACACAGCTCCAGGAATGTCAACTGGATTTGAGCCTCAAGATCAGAGGCTATAACATTCCAGGGCACAGGAATTTACATATCGAGAACTAAAGTAACAATCCTCTAAACATTTAAATGCTACCCCAACTAAGTTACACAAATTGGTCTTTCTGCTTCCCTTCTCTCTACATGCCACAGAGGTGCTTTCGGGCATCCTAGCTAAACCCAGCTCACAGACTCACATAATTCCTGCCATACTTACCTTCACTGATCCCTGAGCCACTCACTCCCTTCTTCACGAGTCAGAATATGCTGGGTGATGCGTTGGGTCAAGGTTTGTGTTCTTTAAATCCTCACCTGGGCCAGACTCAGGACCCCTTGGCTGTCCATAACTAAGAATATGTCTTAGTGTCTTTATTCTTACCATGGGTTGCATTAGAGGTGGTACATATAAAATTAACTCACCAGGATTCCAATAATGTTTCAATGGAATTACAATTATAAACTTCCCAGACCTCGAGGAAAACAAAAAAGAGATTACAATATTTAAATCACAATATGTATGAATGTGCATTTATGTAAAAAACATATGCACAAAGGTGCATATATATGTAAGAATTTTTTTCAAGACACTCAACTCAATGTGTGTATCTAGATCAAATTATTTAAAAGTCAGGAAACTACTGACTGCATCAAACAAATGAGTAAGTCCAAAATGATGATACTCAAAGAAGATAAGAATGTTTTAATTTCAGCTGCTCAGATAAAATTATTCGATTGGTTTCTTTTTATAAATTTAAAATGCCTTTAGTGTAGCGCTACCAAAATTGTAACCCTAAGGGAAGAAAAAAAAAAGGCCAGAAAATATCAACTAAACAAATCTGATGTATTCACATAATGTAAAGTAGAGAAATATTCTCCTAATGCAAATTTGTGTGATTTCTGGGTTTTTATTACTTACAATGGAGCAAAATTTTATTAGTGTTTACTATATAATAGTCTTGAATCCACATGTATGCATATACGAAATTCTTCAAAACATATAATTCAGACACTGAAATAGCTACTAGTGGAAATAAGCGTGCCTAGATAATTAATAACTTCTCATATATGTACATACAAGCGGATATGACTATGTATGCACCGTAAAACAGGCACATATGCCCCCTAGTGGTAAATACAAAGAATAGTAGAAATAATATTTATCCAGTCAAGGCAATGAATCTGAGGCATAGATTAAAAAAAAAAAACAACTATACTGACTCGGTAAAGCTTTTGGTAACTTGTTCTTAGGGTTAACAAACAAATAGAGGATAACCAATTAAATATGAATTCCAATAAATGGAATTTTTTAGTGTGAGTGCACCAGAGAATATTTACTATTTCTTACTCTTGGGGGGGGGGGATTGAAACTAAGTTGGAGAGATTACTGAGTGTGCTTGCTGAGCCATTCTGGGCTTGCCTGTCACCAGACTTACAGATTATTGAGCTCAAGTTATAGATTTGTATCTGGCAGACAGGCAAATAGTGTTTGTCTTCTTTAAAGTTTCAGGTTTCAGGTATTTTGTGCAGCAGTGGGGAGCCTGACTATCCTACTGACCGAATATGGTTTTCCTTTTTTTTTCTCGCTTTATTTTCAAAACGGAAGTAAGAGTAACAAGGTTCTATTAGGAAATTCTTACCCTTTGATCTCTCGGGTTTTTCATATCAGTGTACCATGGGCTGAATTGCATCACTTTAAACTTGTCTTGACGCCTGAACCCCAAGGAGACTCCATGTGGAGATGCAGCCACTAAGGAAGCCGAGGTTCAGCAGGGCCGGGGTGGGACTCTTAGCTTTAGGACTCGGGACCACCAAAGACGAGAAGGAGGCAGCTCCCCACCACGTGCCCCCAGGGTCACAGCAGAAGGCAGCCTTGCACAAGCAGGAGAAGAGGCCTCATCACAAACAGCCTCACTGGCTCCTTGGTCTTGGGACTTCTAGCAATGTGAAATCCTCCAGAACTGCAAGAACATCAATTTCTATACTGGAGGTCACCCAGTCTTTGGTACCATGTTGTAGCAGGCCACGCCGACTAATAGAGAATCTCATCAAAAAGAATGTAACAAAATGTCATCTGGAATATGCAAGCCTATCTTGACCCTGGCCTGTGGAAATGACCGTATGCAGGAGGAGGAAGATGGGAATGAAGGGGCCGTGGCACATCAAGAAAAAGACCAGCTTGAATACACAGCCTACGGTGACTCCAGGAGTGACAGCTCCACCTCATTAAACCATGAAAGATACCGACCAAACAAAAGCTGGAGAGAGAGAGATGGAGAATGAAAAAGAGAGAGAAATTTTAAGATAGATAGATTAGTTGTTTTTTTCATGATATCTTCCAAACAAAATCATTTAAAATAACTGTATCAGCATTTTGTATTTTTTTATTTTGTTGGGTGGGCACCAGGGATCGAACCCATAATCTTGTGCATGCCAGACATGCCCACTGAGCCAAACCCCCTGGCCTGTTTGTAGCATTGCACACACGTGTCTCAGGATTTGTCTCTAGCGGTCTCCTTTGTGCCTGGAAACACAATGGCTACCCTACTCTTGTTGTGTACGCTAAGCAAGTTACCAGGATGGTTTCTGATGCCGCCAAATAAGTCATGCATGTACTTTCTGGTACACTTGCAGATTTACTTTACATTTTTTGCATGTTTGTGATGATATTTATAACACAGGAAGTCAGGCCAGTGTGGGTGGCCCTCCTGGGGATAGTGCATGTCGTTTTATTATGGGACCCTGTTTAATAAGTACTCTGTCCTCACCACAGATGGAATGGGGGTAACGTGTACATGTTCACTTGCGGTTTCTCTTTCAGCACTCCAAAACCATAACTCTGGACTCATTTGGAGTTATTCTAGTTCAGTTGCTGAGCGTGAGCATGGGAATCGCTTACGACAATGCTGACCTATGCCGCTGCCGAGGAGCTATCTGCCTGATGTCCCCGGAAGCAGTGTAAGAGGCTTTTATAAAAACACTGAATAAATAGTCTATGGTAAGGTAATTTGGTGTATTACGTTTAAAGACATTTCAGTTGTTCAGATGAGTATCAGCTGGAACCGACGATGCCGGGCCAAAGTGTGTGTTCCAGGGCTATGTGCCATGCTCAGGCATCCACTACTTCTCAATCCAAATCCAAGGTCACACTGGCTTTCTTGTGTATGAGCTACCTACAGTCACCACTGCTAACCCATGTATTTTCTAATAATCTGTGGCTTGATGAGCAAATGCAGGCTGGCGCTCGGCGCAGGACAGCTTTGGCCTGCGGGAGTCTCACCCTGCCCTGGTCCCGCTGAGGTCTTGGCCTCTGCTGATTGATAGATATTGAGTTCAGCTTTGGCAGAGAGAACCAACCTTATTGCTCCTTCGGGCCTAGAGAATTTGTTTGCTCTTCCCATCGTTCTTTTTAGAGCCCATTATGCAAGTTTGTAGAAGTGATTTAAGGAGATTGAAGGAAAGCATCTTGTCCGTGATAGGAGCCAGGCTTTTATCTTCTAGACAGACAGTTCTTGGAGGCCTTCTCCGCATCTTAGGGAACTGAGGCCCCACTGCCTTTAGCACCAAAATGCCTCACTCTCTCCATTGCTTCACTGTTGCTCCCCCAAAATACTTGTACCCGAGCTCTTATCTCAGGCTCTGTTGGGTGGGGGAGCCCATATCAAAACAGGTACCTCAGGAGAAGCTGTGGACAGCACCTTTTTATAACACGATGGATTAATAAGTTATCCGATGGCAGGAAGGGCATATTTGGCAGGGCACTGCTGCTGGCCAGGGTGTGGGACAGAAAGCCTTGGTCTTTGGTCCCTAGAAGGATTAAGATACAGTGAAGCTGAAGATATTCGTGGCAGGTGAGGTGCACAGGGAGTCTCTGTCCAGTGCTCGCCGTCTGCAGTGCAGTGCTGTACTCATCCTGGCTCCTGCTCGGCACTTGCAGAACTGAGCGTGCATCCAGGAAGCAGGAACAGTAAGCACTGTGGCCCCGAAGCTGGAGATACTCGCCCTCATTTAGATATTTTCAGATCCGCAGGACTATGAGATCCAGCAAGGATATTGATCCATCTGATGACCAAAACAGTGTATCTGAGTGGGCTAGAGAAGGTTCAGATAGCTTGGGTGAAGGCCACCAACAGGGACCTTCTCACTTCTTTTTTAATCATTTCTCATCTTCATGAAGTTCCCTAACACTAGTGAAGGAGGAAACATTACCTGTCTTCTTTTAATACATTAGTTGTGGGATAACATGTAAATAAGGTTACGTAGCACAGTCTGATTAGCTGGAGACCTAAGCACGAGGGGATGGCCAGCGGTGGGGAGCAGGTTGCCCTTGGCTTTCCTCCTGTGCTGGTGTGAGGGATGGCCCAGAGAGTGGGATGGAGGTAGACTCCAGCACTGTGACAAGGGACTTAAGTATCAAGAACGTGACGCTGTAGAACTGGACATTTAGAGACTGTGAGAGGTGAGTTTATTCAGAGTGGTGCTGAGCGCAGCTGGTCCGGCAGGGAATGCTGCTCCGTCAGTTTCAGTCGGCCACTGAGCAAAACATGCCCGCAACCCCAGCACTTCGGGGACAGCATAGCCTGGGCAACATAGCCACTTACCAAGACTATTAGAATTTTAAAAGTGTGACAACGGGAGGGGGATTAGGCTCACTGCAAAGGCCCCAGGTTCAACCTCTAGTACTGCAAAGACAAACAAACAAAAAGTATCTGCACCAAACATGTATAGGCTTTTTTCTTTCTTTTTTTTTAATTTAATTTTTCTAGACTTGTCAAAATTTCCTTAAAAATCTAGTGTAACAGCTATCTAAATAACATCTATATTCCTGGTACCAATGATAAAAAAAAATGGCATCTACATTGCACTGGATAAATCACCTAAGGACATTTCCAAGAACTCCCCAGAATATGCACCATTACGGGAAACTATTATTTCATGCTACCTGAGGGACTTTCCCCAGACCCTCCCCGTTGACACTCAGGGGTAGCCGCATGCAGACACATATATCTTGTTTTCAGTGCTCTCCAGTACTTCAGAGGCACTCAAACAGCTGTTCACATTTTGACAGCCGTCAGAGTCAATCAGCTTCTTCCCCAGCCACCTTAAGGCAAGCCCTAAAGAGAAAGGCACGCCCTCTACAAACTTTAGCCACTTTAGTGGAGCACTAGCTTCCAGGTGATTCAAGGACAATGTTTTTGTTTTTGTTTTTGTTTTTGTTTTTTTGAGACAAGTTCTTCTTCTGTAGCCCAAATTGGCCTTGAACTCATGGCAATCTTCCTGCCTCAGCCTTCCGAGTGCTGAGATTTCAGGCATGTGCCCCCACACTTGGCTCTCCAAGGACAGTTTTGGGGGCTGCTCCACATGCTGCTCTGCTCTGCAGACCCTGCTGGAAGCCGCCCCTGTTGCTAGCTCGATAACACACACTTACATTGAGTTTTCCTTCTCCTTTTTCCTTGTCCTGACTCCCGCTTCCTGAGATCATGTCTCAAAAAGTTCATGCTATTGCGTTCATGCCTTCGATATTTTTCCTGGTTAAGCTAGACAAAGACACGTTGACATTTTACACAGTTCATGTTCATAATGTTGAACAATAATTGTCACAGTTTTATATATCACTGACCACATTGTAGTTGTTTGTTTTTGCAATGATAGCTGATACGGGCTGTTGCCTTAATCTTTATAGTTATAAGGACAAAGAATTGATAGAAAAGATCAGAGCCTCTTAAATCTAGGTAATTCTTTGGCTCCTCTGCACCCCTGCATATTGTCAAGGTAGTCACTGTTCAATTTTGAAGACAAAGTAGTTGTTTGGGGTGGGTGAGGAATTATTCCCATTATGGTTAGAATCTTTCAAAATTGAGTGTTTCCTCTTTTTCTCCCCTTGTTTCTAGGAGTGCTAAGTGTAAATGGTTTGCTCTTTGGTTGATTTCTCTTGTAATTGTTGACTGATTTCACTATTGGTTACATCAGCATTCTATCCTTTTCTAAAAGAGATTTGGAAATTTGTTATTTTTTTTCCTAAATTACTTAATTGAATTCACCTAAAGAAACCATCTAGGCTTAGATTTCTCTTTTTGGAAAGATGTTTAATCATTTTGAAGATAAAGGGCTATTTAGGTTTTGGTTTTTATTTTTCTAGTATTTGTCCATTTTATCAAAATTGATTAATTTATCATCCGCTTTTCTACAGTTTTTATTTTCTTTTAAAAATCAGTGGGATTTGGCATGGTGGTGCACGCCTGTAATCCCAGCACTCCAAGAGGCTGAAGCAAGAGGATTTCCAGGAGTTTGAGGTCAACCCGAACTAGATAGTGAAACCCTGCCTCAAAAAAGCAGAACAAAAAATGAAACAAAATCAGTGGAATCTGTACAAGAAAGTCACATATTTAATTAAAAGAGCCTCTAGGCCGAGACAGGTATCAGTTTTTAATAAAACTAATATTAAGGATACTTTTAAAAATCAGCTTTAAAAACCAAAGAAACGATTTACAACAGATAATTTCAATCATGCACTCTCATTTTTTTTTTAAAAAATAATTACTGAGCTCTCACTTTGTGCAAATAAACAACTAGAATGGCTTTTTCCCTGGAGCCAAAAAACACAACAAAACCTAAGAGGAAAAAGCAATCAATAAATAAGTTAATAATGTTCCAATTGTTGATAAACATTCTAAAGAAAAAAAAGGACCCTCGCTAAAGAGGAGTAAGGAGGAAATATTTTCACTGTGTGGTTGGAGATATTATTTGTGTAAATTTTGAATAGAGATCCAAAATAAAGAACAGCAGGAATTACGAATGTTTTTACAGAAAATGTTCCAGGCAGAGGAAGTAGTTTAGCATTTGGCAGGGGGCTCGGCAAAGAGGCTGCTTAGATGGGCAGGGTGAGTTGGGGCAGCAGGGAAAGGTGAGCTCAGAGATTGTACTCTGAGTGACTGAGAAACCAGAGCTGGGAATAAACAGAAAAGTAACACTGTTGGGGGAGCATTCTTAATTGTGTTCTGAGAAAAAAAATTGCAAAGGACAATGGAATTTCTTGGCCATTTAGGAGCTATGGCGTTAATCTGTATGGAGAGATCGGAAAGGCTGGCGAGGGGTGGTTGGCACACAGAAGGTGATTTGAACATGGTTAAGAGATGGAGCAGTATTTTGTGACAAAAAGGGAACTGGTGAGAAATAGAAGATAAGCAGAAGATTTGATCCTGGTCAACTAGCCAGTTGGAGTTTCCCTTTATTATGTTTGGAAATACTAGGTATGGGATGCAGGTAGGCACGTTTCTAGTGTTTTACCACATATGTGACTGAAATGATGCCTTTGTCATGTTGCAAAGAGGTGATGGAGATACAATATATATAATATAAATTATATATATGTTATATAATATATATAATTTAAATACTTTTTGCCAAGCACATACCACCTATAAGTGTCAGGGGCTAGATTTTATTTATTTATTTTTTTTTATTTTAAAGATAGTAACATACAACAAAACAATACAGAAAAAAGCCAGCAAGACAATACAGTGAAATTGGTATAGAACTTCAGAGCAGGGTACTGGGGTGACAATATTAGGTACCATAGTGTCTCTCGTTATCTTCATAAAAGTTGTCCTTTCAATCAGGTGTAGCAAAATCAAACCAAAAACAGAACACTATAAAACCAATCAAAACAGAATATTGAATAGAGCAAAACAATTAACCAGAACAAAGCAAAACAGTGAAAACAATGCTGGCCTTCAACAACAAGATAGGAGGAAATCCCCCATATTTGCTGTATTGCATACCGTCATCCTTCCAAGAGATGCTCAGACCTCTGGCCCCAGGTCAGCATAATCAACCCAGCAATACAAGCAGTTAGCTGCTTTATGTACCTTAATTGCTATCAACTCTGGCTGACCTTGAAACCATCCAATTGCCAACGGGGAACGGGGATCACAGGACACTTGATTCTCAGACTGAAGGCAGGCAGGCTCACGGGAGATGCTGACTTGTTCTCTCCCTGGCATGCCAGCAGCTGGTGGACTTAGCAGGAAGGCTGGCTTGTTGTTTTCTTGTTGGTCCCCCAAGTTCCAGCATGGCTGATTCTTGGGAGACACTGACTTGTTCTCAGGGGCTAGATTTAACTTGTGTTTTTGACTGGCTGAAGATGCATGTTCTAAACCAGTTATCCTTTGTGAGCATTAAGGGCTGGGCAAAAGACAGCAAGAGTTTGGAAATGCTAAATTTAAGTTGCCTGTGAAACAGGCTCAAGGGGAAACGTGGAGTAAGGAACTGTGTACCAGATGCTGGGGTTTTAGAGGTAAGTCTGAGTTAAACAAATATATGAGCTGTCTGGTATGTTGTTTAAAAACTATAGAATTGGTTAAAACTGCATAGGACCAAGTATAGCTAGAATACAGAGGTCTTCTAACATTTGAAATTACATCAGATAAAGGAGAAAAAACAAAGAAAAATGGAGTAATTTGTAAGAGTGAGGCAGGGCCATGAATAAGTGTAAAAGAAGAGCCAATAACGCTTTCTAAAAGATTTTTAAAATCTAACATGAAATTTTTGCACAACTGGCTTCCCATGCACAGAAGAAGAAAGGGTTTTGACATTAACAGACTTGAGGATAGGTCTGTTGCGGAATACTCATGAGATAGCTTTATTCTGAAGGAGGGGCCCTTTCTGAAAACCCTCACATAAAAATTTGGGTTTTGCTATATTTTTAGTTTTTCCAGTGGCATGAAGATGTTCAGCAACTGCAGCGTGAAAGCTTTTAAGCTCTTCACGTCCAGTCAGGTGTCTCAGTGTCTGCAGAACCAGCCGTATTTGGAGCCCGTCTACAGGTCAAACCCGGTCTGCGGCAATAACAGGGTGGAACAGGGTGAAGACTGCGACTGCGGATCGCAGGAGGTCAGTGCCCATTGCAAAATGGTAGCAGCCATGCGTGGTGATCGGGATTGACTTTTGCTAGTGCTGCACGGTCATTGATAACACTCATCTTTCTACGAAGGCCTTCAGGAAGATGTAGAGGGATTTGAACAAAATTTGCAGATCGATTTACGTATTGCTATGTGGATTCACTGATAGGCTGGTTGTATTTTTTTTTTTTACTGTGGCTTTATCAAGGTATAACAATAAAGCTTTTATTGTTTTACTGACGCAGCAAAAACTATATATTTATGGCATGTGACTTGATCGTTTATGTATACAGTATAAACTATTCACCATAAGCTAATTAAGATAGCAATAATTTCACTGCTGACTCTTTTATGAATAAAAGATAGCTTTGAAAATTTTTATTAGTACATGCTTGCAGTATGATTGCATTCATCATGGCGAGTTGGTACATGTGCATAATATATCGGAATACATCTTTTTACACCTTCTTTGTCTCCCTCCTCCCCACTTATTCTGTAGAGAATAGTTAGGATCTATCCTTGCAAATTGCAAGTACACAACAGAATATCATTAAGCATAAGTCACATTGTTGTACATTACACTGCATTTCCAGAGCTCTCTCAGCCTGTACAACTGAAATTTTAGACGTTCCCAAACCACAGGAACTTAAGATAAATCTGCTAGGTTAGAGGGCAGTGGAAAAAATACAGGCAGAGCTAATACAAAGTGAGGAAAAAAGTAAAGTACATTAAATGTAATACAGTTGAGTCCTTCACACACTAATCTTTTTTCCGTATAGAATTCCATACACAAAAAAGCAGTGAGATTTATTGGACAGGCTAGTTGTAAAAAACCATGTGCCCTTGTGAATGTTTTATTATAGATCATATTAAGACTACTGAAATCTATGATGTATATTTGTGCAGTATATTGAAACTTCCCCCTAATTAACTCTGCTTCAAATCTCTGGGAATTTAGAACACGTGTGTGTGTGTGTGTGTGTGTGTGTGTGTGTGTGTGTGTGTGTACTTTCTCTCCAGCCTTCTCTTATGTGTTGCATTTATTATCATTAACAATAAAATATTTAAAAACAGATTTATGGGTTATAGATGAATTTTAGGGTTAAAGGAGGCACAATGATGCATGGATAAATGATTTATAAGTGTCAATTTCAGTCATTTTGAGATATAATACCATTTTCTTCATTGAACAGCTGAAAATGAAATAAACTTATAATATCCTACTTTGAAATATCCAAAGTGCAGTAGATTCAGAAAGATCAAATAAGAACTCATCACTATGATAAAATCTTTAGATCATAACTTCCGTTTATCTCACATCCTGTATTTAACCAGATCTTCGTCTGCAAAACCAGAGATTTTGTCAGTGCTTTGGCTATGGTCCCAGAGAATCCTATTACCAATATAGACACACTTAATCTGAAAATATTTTTTTAAAAATCAAACAAGATCTAACACTTGGTAGTTAACCAATAAATGTCTGTTAATAAACAAGTGATTTTTCTTCCTGTTTGCTAACCTTGCAAGTCAAGCATCTATCTGTGTTCCATGCGATGCATTAAACTATGTATCCAGTGTAAAGAAAGGTTGAAAGTTTCTTCAGAGCCTTTGATCTGCCTTCCAGGAATGCCAAGACACCTGCTGTGATGCTGCTACCTGCAGGCTGAAAAGTACTTCACGATGTGCTCAAGGGCCCTGTTGTAACCAGTGTGAGGTAAAAGATTTTTTAAAAAATGTCTCCATGGCCTATGTCATGAAATTACTATTCTTTAGTCATTCTCATACATTCAAATTCTGCTTTATTCAATGTCACGCATTCAATGCCCATCAGTTCAAAACTAAAGGAGAGGTATGCCGAGAGTCCACGGATGAGTGTGATCTCCCTGAGTACTGCAACGGCTCGTCTGGGGCTTGCCAAGAAGACCTCTATGTTATTAATGGGCACAGATGCGCAAATGAAGAGTGGATCTGCATGAATGGGAGGTGTCTGTCTGGGAAGGCACAATGCCAAGAAACATTTGGTACAGGTAAGTATAACACCATGGTTCATTTGGTAATTAGGTTAGACACCTAATGTGTCATTAGGTCATGGATTAATGTTGACGCTCATTAATATCAAGGAAGACTGCAAGGATCTTTTAAAAACAGCAGAAGCTATATATGAATGTGTGTCCCATGTCAATCCTGAGTACACAAACTTTGAAGTATCATTCATATGTAAGAAAATGCTACAAAAATTGTAAAATTTGGGTTGCAGTTTTTGGTGGAGACAATAGATATGGGATAGGGGGGAAAGGGAATATATTTTAACAGGGTCTCCAAAAGATAAATGTTGATGTTGAGCCAGGAACTGAACACTGGGATTAACTTTGCTCTCTGTAGCAGTATCTCTGTAAAGCTGTTTTAAAAATTGACATCATCAAAACTAAAGGGGGGCCCTCTGTTCTCAGAAGTTGATTAGGTTCATTTACGAAAAACTTCTTACTCCTGAGTTGGAGCAAAATAGTTAAAAATGTATTTGAAATGCAGAGCCACATGCAGGCATGTGACAGGCTGCTCAGACTGATGGATGAGAACAGTACTTCGTTCTTGTTCTTTGAGGCAGCCGCTCCTCTGAAGGGAATGGAGAGGTAACAACCGGGAAGACAAGCAGGTGGGAAAACCCTGCCTCCTTCCAAAGCCAATGAGCTGGACAGAATTTTCCAGAGTCTCGTAGGCTGGGAAAGACAAAGGGTAGAGCTCAACCTTTGGCAAGTAAAATGAGTTTGATAAACAGTCCACATTTTTAATAGAGACCCACTCAGAACTTGGCGTTGCAAATTAGAACCCATATACATGTGGGCTCTAACAGACCACATATACATGTGTCAAAGCTTCACTTTGCACACAGGGAACACGTACGATTTTACCTGTCAGTGTGGAAAATCACAGAAATGAAGAATTAAAAATTTTAATGTGAAATTAAGAACATGAATGATGAACTCCTAAGCAGATCAATCAAACAGAAACAGCATATCAAAGAGTAAACTATAGGTCAGCAGAAAATATATCTGTTGACACATACAGGAAGCAAGGCAGGGTAAAAATAACTAGCTGCTTTGCTTTATTTGATTATAGATAGGTAGATAGATAGATAGATAGATAGAAGGTCTTGCTATGTAGTTCAGGCTAGTCTTGAACTCATGGCAATCCTCCTGCCTCAGCCTTCTGAGTATTATGATTATAGGCACAAACTACTATGCCTGGCTTTGAATGATATTTTACACACATTTTTTTTTTTTGTCTTTTTCATTTTTATCAGGGATCAAACTCACGACCGCACACTTGCAAGGCAGGCGCTTAGGCTGCTGAGCTAAATCCCCAGCCCCATTGAATGATATTTTAGACAAAGACATATTTGTAGTTCAAAATCATTCCACTGTCTCCCATCTTTAATCATTATCTTTCAAAAGCTCTACTTTTAGTCTAAATGCCCTTCTTATATAGATAGATCTATTCATCTTTTCCTTCTCTAGGTATATGAGATGAGAGACCAATCACCTTAATTAATATCCTGATGCCCTCCAAACAAGACCTACCCAGAAAACAGGTTCTAGTATGATTTCAATTTCTCTTCTAAGATGGTGCTAGAACTTGTTTTCTGGGTAGGGTCTTATTTTGGGAGCAACAGGGTATGACATGGGTTGATACTTGATGCTCTGAGATTCAGTTAGCGTTTAGGTAAGCTCAGTCTCCATAGAGCATACCACCATTTCTAAAATGTAGGTGTTCAGCATTTTTCTATATATATAGAGAGAGATCCAACAGATACGTAATCACCACACAAGAGACTACAGAAAAGTCTGCTGTGTTTTACTGAAATTCTCTCCTGTTTTACTCTCCTCTCTTGCTCACCTTTGGAGCCAGGAGACAGCCCAGAGAAAGGAACCAACTATGGGTCAAAGTCACAGAGTCCAGTTTTGTCGCTACATCTGTGAAAGACTCTCAGGCTTTGGCCTGCTTTTCACCCAGAAACAGCTTTGTGAGTGACCCTGGGAACAAAATCATTACTGTTCCGTTCCCCGGTGACTTGGGGTTTTTACCTGACACCCTGGTGTGTCCCAGAGGCTCAGCTCACTCTCCTTCATTTTTCCCCCAGAGTTAGTCAAACGGCCCTTTTAGAGACTTTTGGCTTGGGGAGAACTGATGGAGGTTATAAAAATTAAACTGCTCTTTAAAGTAGATTGGGTCCTATGAGAACTAAAATTAAACAGACAATATACTTAGATTGGAAGTGAAGGTGGGGGTGAATCAATTATCAAGATTTCTTTTTTGGTCTGAGATTACGATGAGCAATACGACTGAGTATTGGCTTGGCTCGAGAAGATGTTTATGCAAAAAGTTTATGAGCCAGTGAGTAAATAATATGTTTGAAACATTTATTATGTACTTACAGACTTGTGTTTATAGATTTACTAAAATTAGAAGTCAAACTGTGTGTACTGACTTATGCTAAAATATGTCTGTAGGTGTGTGCATGGGAACGAGCAGGAGTCCTTTCAGTAAATGTTTTCACTGAAGTGTTTTTATATTATTTTAAGGCAAATTTTTATTCTCAATTTTATGTTGTTTGGTATGGTATTTTTAAATCATCTCAGAATTTAATCATTCACCAGTTGTTTTAATTTAAATTACTCTATACATAATGTGACTAACAACACTTTCTTTCAGAAATGGAAATGGGTTCAGTAGACTGCTTTGAACAACTTAATACTAAGAATGACATTACTGGAAACTGTGGTATCCTCAGCCCCGGGAATTACAAAGCATGTGGAGCTAGGTATGCTGTAGTAAATCCAAGCACCTCTGCTGCTTTGTGTTTGAAAATGTTATGGTTAAATAAGGTTGTAATAATCACGATATCACCTGACCATGATATGAGACTGTTCGATACAACAATAAATGTGATAGATACAGAGCTAAGCTCTATTTATCTACCTCATATGCCCAGATTATCCTTTAGACTTTACCACCACACAAATTATTATAATTATTACTGTTACTGTTACTATTACTATTATTAGTTTGGTACTGGGAATCAGACTCACGACCTTGCACTTGCCAGTTCGATGCTGTGCCACTGAGCTATATCCTCAGTCCGATTTTTACTTTGCATGTTATCTCACACTATAACTTGGTTGGAGTATACAAAGTACATTTCTGGTATCCAACTTGGACCTACCACAGAACTGTAGGCACCAGAAGAATTTTACTACCTTCATTTTTCTCTGATTATTTGATTGGTTTTCCTTATTTGTTTTTTGTGGTTATTTCTCTCTCTTGCTCTCTCTCTCTCTTTCTCTCTCTCTCTCTCTCTCTTTTTCTCAGGATTTAGATTTCTTATTTTTCTTTTTGTTTTCAAATACTTATTTTCTTTCTCTTTCCTCAACTATCTTGTTTGACTTTATGATACTATCATGTGAGTAAACATTGTCTCTTCTCTTTCTGGTTCACTTCCATACTACTTTGGTTTATCCTCCATTCTTTCCCCTCCTGTGTCCTCCACATGACCATCCTTTGCCCTCTGACCTGGCTCCTACTATATTTAGCCTTATGCATCTCTCCATCTTCCCCCATCCCTCTGAAGCCACCCCCCCAACAAGATAAAATCGCTACACTAAATGGAAAATCATTGCATACAAGTTCTTGATATGTCCTGGATTTTGTTCTATAATTGTATAATTTGCTCCTGTGGTTAAAGGTATCTGGTTAATATTTACCACACTTTGTCAGTAATCAGGTTGTGCTTGAGACTATTGCTATTGCTAACAGTATTACTTTACCAAGAATGCAATTCCTGTTATAATCGGTTTTTCTTCCTTGTATGCCAAAAATGTGATTATGTAGGCTCATAACCATCACTGTAGTCCAGTACCAAAGGAATAGGTGCTGAGATAAACAGATAGTAACTTCTCATTCTAAATACATTGGGAAGGCAGGTTCCTGGGACAGACACAAAGACCACGAGTCACCTGCAGCCAGAAGACATCCCGAGGAATGGATATACCCTAAGGAAACCTCAGTACTGGGGATAAAGCTGTCTACCTAAGAAATTTAGACGTATCAACACAGAAAGTAAAAAATAGCAAATGACAAGATGCAGGAGTGAAATGCAACCCCTCTTGTCCCCCCAGGACAAGTCCAGAGCATAACGAAATCAGAAACAAACTACTGGAATTTCTGAAATGACAGCAACAGAAGTGAAAAAACAAATGTAAGAGTCTATAGAAAAATAACCTCTAGAATACAAAAACAAATGATGATCAAAATAAAATATATTAAAGCCGACACAGACAAATAAATAAAGGAGCTCAGAACAACAATGGAAACTATGAATGTTCCATGGAGAATTGGAATCCATGAAACAGATTGAAACAGAAATCCAGGAAATTAAAACTTCCATTGAAAGTATACACAACAGAATCAATAAGGCAAAGATAAAATACCAGATCTAGAAGACAGGATTGTGTCAAGCAACCATGAAAAAAAAATGCTACAGCTACAAGATAAAGCAAAGAACAACAGCATAAGATTGACTGGAGTCAATGAGAAACCTGGAGACAGTGCAAAAGTCATAAAACTACTCTTCATAGAGATGATGGCAGACAGCTTTCTAAACATGAATAAACAAATTGACATACAAAGCATACAGAACTTCAAATAGCCCTGCCCAAAATAAATCTACACAGAAGTATATAATAATCAAGATTTCCTGGAATTCTGCACAAGAACAGAATATTGAAAGAAGTTAGAGAAAAGAAAGAAAGCACCTATAAAAAACTGCAACAAAATTAGAGCAGACTTCTCAACACAAGCCCTCCAGTCAAGGAGAGCTTGGAGTAAGTTATTTCAAGTCCTAAAAGAAAGCAACCTCCAACCCCCAAAACTATCTTTCAAAATCAGTAGGGAAATAAGCGCTTCCATGAAAAAGAGCACCAAAAGAAAGTCATGGTCACCAAACCAGCTCTTCGGAGTGCTCTGAAGTACGCTAGACAGAGAAAATGAAGCCCACAAGCCCAAGAACATCAATAGAAAGAAGCCATCAGGGTGGGTGGCTTAAAGGGAAACAATAGACAACCAACCACAGGAAAATAACATGAAAAAGATAAGCCAGTACCTATCAGTTATAACCATTCATGTAAATGTTCTCAATTTATCAATCCAAAGAAATAGACTGGCAGCATGGATCAAGGAGCAAGACCCAACAATATGCTGCATTCAAGGAGCACATTTAACTCAAAATGAAATTCTTTTTGGAGGAGGGATGGTTTTTTTTATTTTAAAGAGAATTTTTTAAAAACAATAAAATGGAACCAAACAAAACAGAACAATATTGGATTTCAAAAACAAGACAGAAGGAAATCTCCCATAGAAAAAGAAATTCGTGCACTGAAATTCAAAGGATGGAAAACAATTCTCCATACCACAGAAAACCCACCCTCAAAAAAGAAGTAGTTATTCTATTTGCAGACAATGTGAACTTCAGGTCAAGACTGATCAAAAGAGACAAAGAAGGTCATTGCATACTTGCTAAGGAAAAACTCCAAGAAGAAGAAATAATAATCATAAATATGTATGCACCAATTACCAGTACACCCAGCTACATAAAACAAATATTAACACACATGAAAAATCAAATAAGCACTAGCACACTTGTAATGGGAGAAATTAATACTCCCCTCTCACAATTAGACTGACTAGACAAAAAAAAATCAACAATACCAGAATTAAACCCAACTTGTTAACAAATCAACTTCGTATGTGTTTATAGAGTGTTCCAACATACAACATCAGAATACACATTCTTCTCAGCTGCACATGGGATGCTTTCCAAATAGACCACATATTAGCCCATAAAACATGCATAAGTAAATGCAAAGGAATTGAAAGCATCCCATATATATTATCTGACCATTGTACAATGAAGATGAAAATGACAACAAAAGAAATCATGAAAACAAAATGCAGAAAATCAAGAAGATTATATACATTAGGAAATGGGATTCATCCCAGAAATGCAGGATGGTTCAACATATACAAACCAATAAATGTAATACACCATATTAACAGAGCCAAAAACAAAAATCACATGATGATCTCAGTAGATACAGAAAAAAACAAAGTCCAGCACCTATTCATGATCCAAAAATAAAACCTACAGAAAATTGGAATAGATGGTCTTTATCTCAATCTGATAAAGCCATCTGTGATACATCAACAGCTGACATCATACTGAATGGTAAAAACTGGAAGCATTTACCCTAAAATCAAGAACTAGACAAGGATGCACACTATCACCACTCCTAGTCAATATAGTTCTGGAAACATTATCCAAAGCAACTAGGCAGGAGAAAAAAATAAAAGATATAAGGATAGGAAAGGAAGAAGTTAAATTATCATAGGCCACCCCCAAAACTCCAAATTCAGTAGCATAGCTAGATATGAACTCAATACTCAAAGCAGTGTTCTTGTACACAAACAACAAACACACTGAAAGAGAATTTAGAGAAACCATATTTTTTACAATAGCATCCCAAAAAGTTTAGCACTTATGAATTAATCTAACAAAGAACGTAAAAGATCTATACATTGAAAAGTTAAGAACTCTGAAAAAGGAGATTGAGGGGGATATCAGAAAATTGCTCATGTATAGGAAGAACCAACATTTTGAAAATGGCCATATTCCCAAAATTGATATACAAATTTAATGCAATTCCAATCAAAATATCATTAGCATACCTCACAGAACTAGAGAAAATATCCCTAAAATTCATTTGGAACCAGAGGAGACCTAGAATAGCTAAAACAATTCTAGAGAACAATAGCAAGGCAAAAGGCATCACAATCCCTGACTTGAAATTATACTCCAAAGCTCTAGTGATAAAAACAGCATGGTACTGAAAAAAACACTGAGAATTAGTGGAACAGATTGGAAGATACAGAAACAACTCCAAACATATTCAGTCACCTTATCTTTGTCAAAGGTGTCAAACACATTGACTGGAAGAAAGATATGCTGTTTAATAAATGGATTTTCACTTGCAAAAATATTAATACTAGACCCATGTGCCTCACTATCCATGAAACTATGATTGAAATAGATCAAATATTTAAATATTAGGGTGAAAACACTAAATCTGTGAGAAGAGAGAATAGGTAAAACTCTTGAAGACATAGATGTAGCCAAATACTTCATGAACAAAACCCTGATCACATGGGAAACACTAGAAAGATTAACAACTGGAATCTCATTTTATTAAAAAAAAGCTTTTGTACAGCAAAAGAAATCACCATTAGAGTGAAAAAACACCCCTAGAAGGAAAAATGTGTTGGCCAGTTGTCCCTCAAATGACTTATATCTAGAACATATAAAGAATTGAAAAAAATCAGATCTCCAAAATTCAAAGACCCAATTTGAAAATGGGCATCTGAACTTGAGACCTTACTCATTAATGAAATAAGACACATATGTAAACATCATATTATCTCACTAGTATGAGAATCTGAAAGTAACAACATACGTACATGTATATGTATAGGTATATTAAAAAGCTAAAACAGCTATACCATTGATTTCTCTGAGTTCACTGGAGAGAAATGTTTGTGCTGGTATTGTTCAGACAATTGTAATCTGATGTCTTGTGTGCTGGGTGTGTGATTTGGGGTTGACAGTGCACAATGTATGTATCATTGTTGCCCCAACTGATATGTTTTGAAATTTTGTTTGTTTTTTTTTAATTAAAATGGTTTTGAAAAAAATGGGCATCAGAGATAAGGACTCCTTAGATGAAGAAATATAAACAGCAATTAAATATATGAAAAAATGTTCAGCATCACTGGTCATTCAAGAGATGCAAATTAAAAGAACACTGCGTTTCCATCTCAGTACAGAAAGAATCAGTCAATAACAAGAAATCAACCAATAACAAATGCGGTAAGGGCTGTGGGGAAAGAGGAGCCCTTCTCTACTGTGGTGGGAGTGTAGACTAGTACGACTACTGTGGAAATCAGTATGGAGAGTCCTCAAAAACCAGGATTAAAGGTCCCTTTAACCCATCTGTTCCCCTTCTGGTTATCTTCCCGGAAGAATTAGAAGCAACATATCACAGTGATTTATATTCACCCATGTTTATAGCAACACAGTAAATCTTGTAAACAGCACAAACTTCCACCAACTGAGGAATAGATTAAAATGATGTGATATTTTTATATAATGGAGTACTACTCAGTCATTAAGAAGAATAGATGAGACATTTATAGGTAAATGGATGCACATTGAGATCATATTGTAAGTGAAATAAATCAGACTCACATGTGCAAGCATCATATTGCCTCCTTGGTGTGAGAAACTGAAAGAGTATATAAGGACCAAGACGTATAATTTTATGAAATGGGGAGGAATTATTCAAAAGGAAAGAGGAATGAGGGTGGTAGAAATTGGAAACAAAGGAAAGGAAAAGGAAAAAAATGACATGGTTATGCTACGAGTTTTTCCTAGTTCATTGCAAAGAAAGATTTGTGCTAATATCATTTGGAATTTTTATGCCCAAATCTTGTACTCTGAGTAACTACTTCAAAGATAACAATACACTGTATATGAACTATTGTTATTCTCCTACTATTTTGTTATGAAATTTTGTTTTATTTTTTCCATTAAAAATCCAACATACATTCATGAGAAAACCCCTGAAAAAAATGGACACAGAAGGATCTAATCTCATTCTAATAAAAACCACTTATCACAACCCCACTTCCAAAATGATATTAAATAGGGGAAACCTAAATGCCCCCCCTCCAATGTCAGGAGCAAGATAACCACTTGTTTTTAATACAGTCCTTAGAACATTAGCCAGAGCAATCAGGTAAAATCAGGAAATTAAAAGCCAATAGTGTTCCTTTACACCAATAATGAAATCACCAAGAAAAAAAATTGGGAAAAATCCAATAATTTAACTAAGGAAGTAATTACAAAGAAATCCACAGTCCTTGGAAAAAGGAGCTAGAAGAGGACATAAGAAAAAGATATCTCTCTTCTTGGATAAGCAAAACCAATATAATCAAAATGGCCATCTTTTGAAAACATACACAAAGTTAATGCAATCCCAATCTAAATAACAGTAGCATCCTTCACAGAACTAGAGAAAACAATCCTAAAATTCATACGGAGCCAAGAAAGATTCAGAATAACAAAAGCAACAAACCAGGGGTCATCACAATTCAAGACTTAAACTTACATTACAAAACTATAGTGATCCTTTAATAAAGTATGGTACTGGCACATGTCTTACATTTTGCTTGTTGCTGAGACAAAATACCTAGTACCCAAAGTTACAGGAGTTAAGTTTTGTTTAGCTCACCGTTTGTGGAGCTTTCAGCCGATAACTGGCCAGCTCCAAGGCAGGGTGGTGCGGCAGAGGAACATCTCAGAAGAGAAACAGTTCATGATGGGAGGAAGATAGCAAGGTGAGCCAGCCACAAGCAGCAACAGCAGCTTCTCCAGCTTCTCTCTGCCCCTCTTATAGGCTACCTGGCTTAGGACAGGTGCCGAACCAATCAGTGAGCTAATTTAGCAACCACACGCTCTGAATCCCAGCATCATGCATTCTAGATCCAGCCACCTCTGAAAACTCCCCAACCCCTATGACCCCATGAGGCTTTGGAGGGACATGTAGACACAAGTCCTAATGGTGCAAAAACAAATGTGTGGGTCAATGGAAGAGAACAGAGGACACAGAAACAACCCCAGGTATATCCAGCTCTCAGATCTCTGACAAGAGGGCCAAAAGTTTGAGCTGGAGGAAAGTCAGCTTAACAAACAGTGCCAGGAGAACTATCAACATGAGATTGAATCTACATTCATGTCTCTCACCATGTACTAAACCAGAATAGAAATGGATCCAAGACCAAAGTGTTAAAATGGAAATATTTAACCTGCTGGAAAGTAAATGAGATAAAACTCTTGAAGACATAAGCATAGGCAAGGTCTTTCTGAACAGAAACCCAGTTACACCAGAAATAATATCAAGAATCAGGACCCTATCAAAAAGTTTCTGCACAATCACTGAAACAAACAATACAGTGAAGAGACAACCTACAAAATGGGGAGAAATGTGCTGGCTTTGACAGAGGACTATTACAGCTATGAAGACAAATTTGAGTGTTGTGTAAGAAGACAGATGTAATTGAAATAGATACAGAAGGCTAGATATTGCATGGTGTATTTTGTTTTTGTCTTTTTCTTTTTTATTGGTACTGGGGATCAAACTCACGACTGCCTGTTTGCAAGGTAGGTGCTTATGCCGCTGAGCTAAATCCCCAGCCCCACATGGTGTATCTTTTATGAGAAACATAAAGTATAAAGAGCAAAATGAGTGATGACTAATAAGCCGGGCATGGTGGTGTGCACCTATAATCCTAACACTTGGGAGGAGGCTGAGGCAGGAGGATCACTGTGAGTTCAAAGCCAGCCTGGGCTACAAAGTGAGCTGAAAACCAGCCTGACCTACACAGTGAGAGCCTGTCTCAAAAAGCCAAAAAAAAGAAAAAGATAAAATCGATAAGAAATAGGGAGGTAAATCTGTAGCAAAAGGAAAAAGGGGCCAAAATATGCGGTTGGGGTATGAACAAAAACTCATGTGTTACGTAAGTGTACCAGTTCACAACAGGAACCGTTATGATGTACTGCCAAGATGGACCACAAAATAAAAATGTAGCGAAGAGTTTACTCTCCACCATGGGTACGTTTCCATAGATCTGAGGCTCTGTTTTTGTTTACTTGGCTCTGTCTTAAACCTGACTAGGTATAGAATGGTTTAGGCCACTTTGTCTTCCCCCACAAGCTGCTTCTTTTAGCGGCATCTATAGTTGCCTCTGTCCTGGTGTCTGATTCATCAAGGAACCCAGCACTGATGCAGGATAAACTCTTTTATGTTATGGAAACAGACAGAAACTTCGGTAAGCCGAGAATGCTCTCTGTCCTTCCCACCACTAGAACCTTCCAGAGAAACCAAATTCTCTTCCCTTTGAAGAACTCAGCACACATTTTGCTTGGTGATGAGTTTTCCTGGTTACTGTCTGATGATAGCCTGTGCTCAACTTCGAGGATGTCTTCTCTTCAAACCATAGGCGGCCAGATATCTATATTCCACACTGACAGTACCATTTAGCAGTCTTTTGGTTTGCACTTTTCAGTGCTGAAATATCACATTTTGGTTGTGCTATTGTTCTTTTGTAGATCGTCTTTTTTGCTTTCTGTTTGTATGATTTCAATGTGGCTTGCACCACTTTTTTTTAGCTCGATACATAGAACTCCTATTTGTCAGGTGTACATTAGCAAAGATGAGGAGAATGTGTATTCCTGAAACCCATCAGAGCCCTGCTAGAGCCGCACATGTGAGGTTCAGACGGGGAATCCCGAACAGCAGGGCCGGCTGCCCACTGCGTGTCCTGCACCAGTGGTGGTGGCTTAGAATTTGTGTCTTTACCAAATTGTATGAATCTTGGGGATAGTAGAATTTCTTTTCTTTTTTCTCCTTTTTTATTAGCATATTCATTATATTCATAATAAAAACATTCACGATGGGGTATCGCACAGGATGTGTCACATCTTGATCCTTCTCGCCACCCCTCCCCCCATCTCTCTCCTGCCTCCTGCTCTGTCCCCACCTTGAAGTTTATTTCACATATGAACGACATGTATTCCTTCTTGGGTGTGGTTCCAGCATCGGACCAGTGTGAGTCTGATGATGTGAGGCTGTAAGGAAAGCCAAACGAGCCTGGTAACTGGACAAATTCTCTCATGTTTTAAAAGTAGAAGCAGGGAGCAATGGCTCATGCTTGTAATCCCAGCACTCGGGAAGCTGAGTCTGGAGGATCACTGTGAGTTCAGGACCAAGCTGGACTGCAAAATGAGACCCTGTTTCAAAACAGAAAAGAAAGAATATATTTGGGGGTGATGCTTAACGACCAGAAAAGAGTGAAGTCATCATCAAAAGAAGTATCACAATAACAAGGAGTAGTTCATAATCACTATTGAAATGTTCAGTTAGCAATTTGAGAAATCGCTGTCTTGGGGGTGTACTTGAGAGTTAACTGCATGTGTTCTACTGCAAATGCTGAGAGTTTCTTTGAACTGATGTGCTTTTGTAGTGATAGGCACATATGTATTAAGATGAATGATTTCTGTCTGTGTGTGAATCACAGCAATTGGAAGTGTGGAAAATTAATCTGTTCCTATGATAAGAGCGAAATCCTGAGAAACAAGGAAGGCATGACCATTTATGCCAACATCAGCGGCCATATCTGTGTCAGCATAGAATATCCTCCTGGTCACGCCAAGAGTGCACTGATGTGGGTAAGAGATGGCACCGTGTGTGGCCCGAGTGAGGTAGGTAGTTTCTTCTTCCCCAGTCACTTTTGAATACTTTATACTGTGGTTGTTTTTGGTATTGATTTTGATTTTTGGCTTTTGGGTTTGGAATTTTTGTTTTGTTTTGTGCTTGTGTTTGTGCTTGTGCTTGATACAGGGTCTCACTGTGTAGTTCAGGCAGGCCTTGAACTCACTTTGTAGCCCAGGCTGGCCTCAAACTCACAGTGATCCTCCTGCCTCGGCCTCCCGAGTGCTGGGATGACAGACAGTGCCACCCCCAGTGCTGCATTCTTAAATGATACATATTTAGTATTTTCTCATAGCTGAAATGTACAGTCAACACTGGAATCTGGAAAATAAGAAAACAATTTAAGAGTCAAATATAATCTGCAATCAAGGACAGGTGCTATTTCTGCTAAGTTTTTGATGGCTACCCTTTTTCTTGTGGAAGTTGTGTGACTTGAGAATCATGCTGTTTGTTCACTGTATTTTATTAAATTATCCCTTGTTTCACAGGGAACACTCCTAACATCATGAATTATCTTTTGAAATAATTTTTAGAATTTATTTACTTAATTTATTTATTTATTCCTATTAGGCTATGTGTGTACACAGTAATTCCATTTGTCCTGGGGGAACTGGTCCGTACACACATTGTGTCTTAATCATTTTTATTTACACTCCTTCCCTGTCCCCTCTCCACCCCAGTCCACAAGCTCTGCCTCTTGGTTTCCTATCATCCATTTTTCGTTTTCTCCTTCAAACTGTGTATATTTTGGGTTTCTCATATCAGAGAAACCATGCGATTTTAATCTTCTCTGTTTGGCATGCTTATTATTGTCTTAATTTCCTACAAACGACTCAAATGGAACCTTCTTTGTGACCCGAAATTGCATCTATGTATCACGCTTTCCTTATCTACTTGTCTGTTGATAAGCCTGTGGGTTGCTACCAAGATCTAGCTGTTATGAGCTGTGCTGCTTGCAAACATGGGCATGCAGGGGTATCGCAGTATGGGGTCTTCAGCTCCTCAAGAATGTAACCCCAAGACGTACAGCAGGGTCAAAGGGAATTTCAGCTTTTTCAACATGCTCATTGACATAGTAGTTGTATAATTATTTTTAGATAATAATAATAATAATAATGCCCATTTTAGAAATGGAAATAATGAATTCACAGGGTAAAACAGACACGTACGGATGTCACATATCTGAAATGTAGTTGTATCTCCATTCTGATGAACATGTTTTCAAGCTGTTGATATACATATGTGTATGCAAAAATATAAACTAGTTTCTAACTATGCACTTTGATAAAAACATTCCATTCTCTGACTTGCTTTTTCTGTTTTTTTTTTTTTTTTTTTTTTTTTTTTTTTTTTATTTAAGAGGAAAAAGAGAAAAACACAAAACAAGACAAAGCAGTGTAAGGTTACACATAATACAGAACTACAAAAAAAAAAAATAAACATAACAGTAAGAAATCACCTGTTAATAGATTACATAATATCATCTTGGAAATAGTTGCTCAAATCACAGTATCAAAGAATACAAAGTAGACATTCAAACGGAGAGACTGCAAACAGCTGTGTTCAATGATCCAAAAACATTAATATAGTCAGCTATTTAACATCCCTAAACACACTTGTTGTTATATCCGTTAGAGCTCTTTTTTTTTTTCCCTCCCTCTCTTTTTTATAACAAAATTTACACATTTTGGATTTTATTACTCCTCAGTTCTCATTACTCTCTTGGGGGGGAGATAATAAAGTCAAATATGGCAAAACAAAGCTGTAAGTCCAAACCAAGGATAGACATAGCACATGATGTAGAACAGAGTACAAGGTCATCAACAATGGTTATCAACATTGTCTCTTGTTTCCTTAAAAGGAATTGTCTATCTCATTAGATATTATAAAGTTGGACAAAACAGTGGAGAACAAGACCAATAAAACTTAGGCATTGTGAACATTGCAGGACTTCCAAAGGAGACAATAGTCAAACCAGAATGGGCATCTTTGTGAATCTTATTGCCTTCAAATTAGTTGCCTATACCTTCAAACTTGCTACTGTCGCACAGAATGGAACAGAGTCTAATCAGTCAAAACAAGATCTTGGGAGTATTACAGGACTTCAAAACAAGTTAATAGGAGATCAAAAAGAGTTACTACTATATATCCTAATTTTTTAAGTTTTTCCCTTAATTAAAATAAACATAAGAAATAGCTAAATAATTTTTTTTAAAGAATAGTAGTTACCATAGTGTCTGTCTTTTTATATGGGATCACAGTGCTTTTTCTGTTTAACCTCTCAATGTGGTACATATAGTTAGTACCACTTTACAACTTGTTAATGTCAAAAGTCACATCCTTTTATATCATGTATCTATTAATGTAGATTTATAATGCTTTTATGCATTCGTTTCACATCTTATAGAAAATTAAGCCGGGCATGGTGGCACACTCCTGTAATTCCAGGACTCGGGAGGCTGAGGCAGGAGGAGGATCATTGCAACTTAGAGTCTAGTTTGGGCTACAAAGTGAGCCCAAGGCCAGCCTGATCTGCGTAGTGAAATTCTGTCTCAAAAAGACAAAAAAGAAAGGAAGAAAGAGAAGTAGAGTTGCAAATAAAAATTAGAATAATACTGGTTTTTATACTTGGTCATTTATTTATCTTTACTAGAGTTCTTTATCTCTCCACAGGACTTCTTATTAATGACTACGTTCATTTCTTTCATTCTGAAGAATTTCCTTTAGTAATTCTTGCAAGCCAGCTCTTCTGGTAGTTAATTCCCTCAGTTATTTTCCTCCAATCTAGGCGATAGCAGTCTTCATTTCAAAGGGTGGTTTTCTGCAGAATTCTTAGTTGGGCCCTCCCTTACCAGTTCTCCATTCTCTTCTGGCCTCTTCCGTTCAGAAATTTGCTGCTAATCTTATTAGGGTTCCTTGCATGTGATGACTGGTTTTCACTTACCACTTTTAAGGCCCCTCGTCTTTGTCTTTTGACCAATTGATGATAGCAGTGGAGTTAATCTAGTAAATTTTTCAATCCGGTTATTACAGTTTCTGAACCGGAATTTCTGTTTGGTTCTTTTTATAATTTCTCTTTTATAATTTCTTTTTCTCTTTCTTTTTATAATAATCTCTTTATTGATAATCTCATTTCCCCATACATTATTGTCCTGATTTCTTTCCATTTCTTTTTTTTTTTTTTTTTTTTTTTTTTGGTCCATGTCTTCTTTTTAAGTCTTTGAGGATATCAGGCACACATATTTTAAAACAAATTTCCATCACTTCAGATTTTCCATTAAAATGAACATATTTTTTCTATTTCTTGTCATTCCTTAGCATTTTTTGATGAAAACACACCTACCTCTCATGGTGTTTATACAATCACTTCATATTGGACAGGTTTTTATTATTTTGATATATAATAATTATATATGTTCACTGGTACAATGTGAAGTTTTGAAATATGGATACATTTGTGTAATAATCAAATCAGGAATTAGCTTACCCATTGCATCAACTATTTGTCATCTGTTCATTGTGAGAATCCTCAAAATCACACTGCTCCGTACCATAATTTATTCCTCCTTTCTAACAGTAGCTTTGTACCTATGGACCAGTTCTTCTCCATGTCACCCTTCCCATATTGTCTCTAGTCACTGGTCACCACTTTCTAATCTCAACTTCCATTTAAAATTTCCAGATTCACATGTGATTGGATCATATGGTATTCATCCTCTGTGCTGGCATATTTCACTTAACATACTGTCCTCCAGGCCCACCCATGTTGTCATGAATGACAAGATTTCATTTTTATGGCTGAATAGTGTTCCATCTTCTACGTACCACATGCCCTGTATCCACCAATCCACTGATAGGAGATAGAGCTAGAGCTAGAGCTGGAGCTGGAGCTGGAGCTGGAGCTGGAGCTGGAGCTGGAGATAAATAGATCCAATAGGGGTGTTATTGGATGTTACGGTAGTTCCAATTTATTTGGGGTGGGAGTGGGAAACTTCATACCATTTCCCGTAACTGATGTGCTAGTTTACATCCCATGAGTAGCATACAAGAGTTCACCATTTCTCCAAATCCTCACCAATCTTTATTACTTTTTTGTCTTTTTGATCATAGCCATTCTAACTGGGATGAGGCAATATTTCACCCTAGCTTTTATTTTTGGTATAGTAGAGGATGCTTTAAATTAAGTGACAAATCTAGATAGCATATGAAGGAGTTTATTCTGACTTACTCCTTTCTTTTAGGTTTGTAGGCAACAACAGTGTGTATCCAGTTCGTATTTGGGATATGACTGCACACCAGCCACTTGCAGTGATCATGGTGTAAGTAGTGGTACTGTGAGTTCATCAGTCACTTAGACTAATCCACGGGAACAAATGCATAGCACACAGACATGCACACATGCACGCACACACACACACACACACACACACACACACACACACATCCACGAGGGCATGTGTGCATGTACCCTCATATGCACACTTATATTCTCATAAACCAAGTAGGAAAATCAGTTTTATTTTACCTAAGAACTATTTTACAATTCTTGAACACCTGCAAATCCAGATGCTTATCTTAGAAGGTGATATGCTCCTACCTTAGGTATGCAATAACAAAAGGCACTGTCACTGTAATCCCACCTATGTACCTCCAAACTGCGAGACCCAAGATTCGACAAAGCCTGGAGGGAGTGTTGACAGCGGTAATCTACGATATGAACCAATCCCTGGTACGTATTAATAACAAATGGAAAGCGTATAGAACATCATTTTAAATGGTTAAATTTTAAAAACTTTGGTGACACCTGTGCTTTGATTTGATAACAAGTAAAATGCAAGGTAAACATAAGACATTTAGAAGGAGAATAAAAGTAAGGTTAATTTTCATTCTTAGTCTATCGCCAAATTCTTTAGTAGTAAAATTTTATCTCAGCTGGGGATTTAACTCGGTGGCTTAACTGCTTGCCTGGTAAACACAAGGTCATGAACTCGATCCCTGGTACCCCTCCCCAAAATTATCAGATTAAAATATATATCAAGCATTCTCCTATAATATCCTTGTTAAAACTTCATAAAATTCTAAGTTAATGTCTGGCAAAGACTTCTTCATCTATACAAAAGGCCGAAGAGTTTTATGGAAAGGACTCCTAAGAATTCACTCACAAGAAGCCTAGAAGAATTTTAAGTAAGTTTTCCCATAGCAGCCTTACTAAGGCTCAATACAGAGAAAAAACTTACGTCCAACAGGCTTTTTGAAATAGCCTTCATATAGTAGACGTACTTTGTTATTTGGTACACAGAAACCCACATGCTAAAGGAATTGTATCAGCTCATGATGAATGATCAAGAAAAATTCATACATTCCTTCCTCCAATCTACGTAGGGTTACATCCAGACCATAAACCTACTCAAAATATGAAAAGGAGTATTCCTTGTGCAATGTGGATTATCAACCAAAGAGTAGAAATAAGAAACTAGATGCTAAAACTTGATGGTACAGAAAACCCACTACCAACAAAAACAAACTATAGTCTCACACAGTGAGCAAAACCACATTTCTACAAGGAAGAAATAATTGTTTTTTAAAAAATGGTAGGGAAACACCCATCAGTTAATTTTATGAGGAAAACATTACTCCGATGGCAAAGTCAGACAAGGCAAACTAACAAAGAAAAAAATCACAGAATATATCCTTTATGAACAAAGTCTCCAACACCCAACAAAATATCAGCTCAGATTGTTTAGCTGTGCATATTAAAACACAGTGCGGGGCTGGGGATGTAACTCAGCAGTGCAAGTGCCTGTCTGACAAGTAAGAGGTCATGAGTTCGATCCCCAGTACCAAAAACAAAAACGAAAAACCACAATGGAAATTCCAGGGAGATAGTGGAGCAGTAAGCAGCAGAGAAAACAGCCTCTCTGAGAGTCACTGTCCAGACACTGGAAATAGCATCATGCGGAAGACAAGAAGGAGGGCAGTGGGTCCCCTGGACCGGGGAGAATCTTAACTGTGAGTTGAAGCCCAGAGAGAGTGAAAAGGAAAACTTCAAGGAAGAAGACAGCGGTAGCTGGCAGCATCGTCTCCCTGAGACGGGACTTATGTGTCAGAGGAGTGATTTGAATCTGCAGACACATCTGCACACATCAAGCATGGCTGCAACCCTCAGAAGCAGGTCCCCCAGATGCCACACTGTGTACCGCTATCCTCTGAACCTGTGATCAGACCACTGGCCCTAGACCCGCAATGTTAGTGAAACAACAAAGCGTCACAGGCATCCAATTGCATTTTACCTCCATAGTTATCATCACAGCCTGTGTTTCTCTGGATAAGTTGGTCGCTTATGGGGGTGGGAGGGATTGGTACTTCTTGTTTGCCAGCCAGTGCGCCAGAAGGGGCTGGTTCTGGCTGTCCCAGTCTGACAGCAGCCCATGCATGGCGCTGATTTCCAGGCTGAGCTTGCTTGCTGGTATGACTTGGCTCTCTCTACCCTTGGTCCGTGAATTGACTAAAACTAATTTTCAGATAGATGTTACACACTGGAATAAATGGGGAAATGGGACAGGTCACCCATGGGAAGGCTCATGATGGTTAGGATGTCAATTCTCATTAAATTAACTGTGTACTTTTAATATATATAAAATGCAAATTTATACATCACATACGTGTTATATTAATGATAAATAGATCATATCATAATTTAATTCTATAAAGCACCTAGATCGGAAATATTAATGAAAATACACACAGCTGTTCAGAAATTTGATTCTAAAATACACACAAAGGATTCTAAAGTAGCAAAAAATTCTTCCAAGAGTCAAATAACTTTCAAAAAAGAGCAAGGAGAAAGAAAGGCTTAGTCTGTTTGCCTGAAACTGAATTTACTAAGTTGCTTTACAGTAAAAATTTAGTATATAATTCTATTAACTGAGACAGTGCATGGGCATTGCTAAAGATTAGATGCATAAATGTATCAACAGAATGGAACAGAATTTTTACAGATATGTGCATTAAAATATAGCTAATCAATTTTTCAGTAAGAGCACAAAGATGAAGAAGAAAAGTCAGTTCAAAACATTGCACTGAAGTGAATGTTTACCATGTCCAGATGAACCTCAAAATCCTAATGTGGTTAACAGCCTACATGAAACGGATTATGAATTAAATGTAGAGACTAAAATTACAAATCTTCTAGCAGGAAACATTATGTTCATGACCTTAGGATAAACAACAATTTCTTAGACAAAACAAAAATAAATATCAATGCACTAAAACACAATTTAGACTTTATTATATGTCCAGTGTTTTTGATTTAAAAAATTCCATTGACTAGAAATCACAGTGCATCTTTAGTATTGACTACCAAGGGAGAAGTTTCTCAGTTAAAAAGTGAGGGTTAGGGATGCCGTGTAGGCTCCAGAAGAGTTTATTTTTGTACTTATACTGTCAAATTATCTTCTTCATTTAAAATTTATTAATCATAAAAGCACTGAATTGTTTAAATTTGTATTGTAGGAGTCACAATAAAATGCCGAAGTAATCTTTCCTGAATTCCTGGTGACTGCCTACTAATTCAACTCTGGTGTTTTTCTTTCCTAGAAACGTATTTCGTTGAAGGTGCTTACCATACCAAGTCTAGAAAATGGCCATTTTTCTTGATCATTCCTTTTTTCGTTATTTTCTCCGTACTGGTTGCTACAGTGGTAAAAGTCTATTACCAAAAGAAAAAATGGAAAACTGAAGATTATGCAAATGATGAGTATGTTGCTTTCACATTTAAATTCTATTACGTTTATAATTTTTGGTATAATAACTTATTAATAGCATGGTAGATATAAATAGTAATAATTCAGATTTAACTTTTGTTTTTATATGGAAATTTAGCATTTAACATGTTAATAATATAATGGATACTCAACAGAAACCAATCATTTTAATCTGATTAAAAATTTGTAGCTGAGTGGGTGGCACATGCCTGTAATACCAGCCCTCTGGGAAGATGAGGTAGGAGGATCTGAAGTTTGAGCTGGGATGGGTAGCATAGCAACTGAGGAGGACTGTCTCAAAATAAGTAATGGTCCAGGCATGGCGGCCCAAGGAGATTGGAGGCTGAGGAAAAAGGATCACCACGAGTTCAAGGCCAGCCTGGGCTAGTCAGGTCAAGACCAGTCTGAACTACACAACAAGACTTTGTCAAAAACACAAAAACAATCCCCTTCAAAAAACAATGGATTTCTGAACATAAACTATAGGAATACTATACTATACTATAAGATAAAAATAAATATTAAGATCGGTATAATTCTCCTTAGGGAAATTTCTATAAAATAATTTTGGAGGGCTGGGGATTTAGCTCAGTGGCATAAGCGCCTGCCTTGCAAGCAGGCAGTTGTGAGTTCGATCCCTGGTACCCATAAAAAACGAAAAAGACCAAAATAATAATAATAATAATTTTGACCTTTGAATTTTATATCTATGTCTTTGTTTTACTGCAAATGAACTTAAATTTCACTAAATTAACAAAACAGTGTGCATGAACTGTATTTCATGGATATATACTGAGAAGTTAATGTGACATTGTGAAAATAGTATGCATTATATGAAATAGCTAATAATTTTAAATAGACCTTGTTAATACTTAGATATAATTTTCTTACATTGGATAACTTTATTGTGGTGAAACTAATATCAAATAACAGTAGGGGAAAATAAGCTAGTAAAACTATAGAGATAAATAGGACTAAAGGTGAAGTGTAGCAAAAAGCTGAAAGACATCAGCACCAATAACAGTTTGCCTATGAAAATGAGCTGCTCTGAGAAAGGTATTCCAGGGACACATGCTCAGAGCAGCACAGATCCTAACAGCTAATCTTGGAAGTAGCCTATCTGTTCATCAACAGATGAATGGCTAAGGAAATTGTGGTGTTTATAGTCAGTAGGGTACCAGCGGGCCACAAAGACGTACTTGAATCTTTTTATATGCAAATGAATGCAACTTGAGACCATAATGGTAAGTGAAATCAACCAGACAATCCAAACTTAAAGGTCACATGGTTTCTCTTACATGAAAGACTTAAGGTATAGATAAGTTAAATAGCCAAATAAAAGGCAGATAATGAGAAACAGGAAGATCTTCCATGAAAGGGAAGGAGACTAAGAGATGGGGGGAGAGGTCAAAGAAGGGAATATAAGCAGAATTGAGATGTGTCATGTACATGTACCAGCTCCCTACCACAAACATAGTCATCCTGCACTATAAACATGTACTCGTACAAAGGAAGAAAACAGAAATAATGTGGATGCTTGCATAATTGCAGATGCTTGTCCATAGTTTGAGGACCTGGAGAGAGGGCTTCCCCAGGTAGCAGATTCCCACCACACCCAGCTCACAGGTTGGGGTTGGGTTGTCATTTCAATACCAACAAAACAGTACAGTGTTCTGGAGGAAATATACTTTAAAATAATTATTTTTATTTTTTTAAAATACAGGAACATTGAAAGCGAGAGTGAACCCAAAAGCTCCAAAGTCTCTTCCAAGTAGACTGGCTGGCAAGGATTCTATGCTGCCACAGTGAGTGTCAAATAGTTCAAGGTATGACAGTGAGGAGGGGTAGTAGGGAAATACACATGCGTCAAGCAGAGGTGGGGTACAGTTCTATATAATAAAAATAAATGGAAAAATACTTTTTTCAGTATTGCAAGTTACATCACAGATGTGGTAAAGGTGTGAATGACACTGCAATTTGTCATTTGAAAAATTCTTGCAGCTCTATGTTTCAATTTCATTTTCTAGTTGAGCTTAATCTTTGAGTAGCTGTAAATTTGAAATGTTGGCTAAAAGTAAATAATGTGCATGAAGTCTATTTCATACTGAGAGTACACATGTGATCTTCACTTTTAACATCATCAGATTTGGTTGGCTACACTGATAACTTTTTCTCCTTTCTTCAGTCTTCCAGAACAAGTATCTTTAGTGGATAGAAAAAAGTGGAGAAGAAAAAATATGCACTACCTTACTTCCTGGAAGTCAAACTGATGTATCGTGGTTTCCAGTGCACCAGAAACTATAGACATTTTCATGTACATGTAACATACATATATGTCGTATATATATGATTCTATAACAGATAATTTATTTGTAAGGAAGGCCTAATTATGAGTTTTACATTACATTTTTCTCATTTTAAAAGTTATTTCACACCGTGTTAGCTAGAAGTCACTAATTCTGTTAGTAGGCATGATATAGAAAAAGTTATAATAAAGGTAATACCATGATTAAAGGCTACAGTGATGTTTTAATTTCCAAAGATTATGTTTTTAATGTTATAATCTGAGGGTTTAATAATGATCTAAGGGTCTGCAAAAAAAGTCTCACCTATGTGTGTGGTCTCAAATTGCCTCCATTTAGCTATAAAATTCTCATTTATCTTTCTTTATGACTAATGCTCCAATGTATAAAAAGACTACATCTTTTTTATCCATTCCTTGGTTGATGTCATTTGGGTGGTTTCCAAGAGTTAGCTATTACAAATTGTCTGTTATTGTGAGAAGCTGAAAGAGTAAATAAGATCCTGTTCAAAAGACAAAAGAAACTGTAATGAAGAAAGGAGAAAGGAAGGAAGGAAAAAGTATATATACATACATATATAGTAGCTAAGATAGTTACAGGCTGGTGATAGAGCTCAGTAGTAGAGTGCTTGCCTTGCACAAGACCTTGAGTTCAATCCCTAGTACCACACACAACAAAAGAAAAGACAATTATGCAGCTAGTTTCTCTTAGTTCACTGAAAATAAATAATATTTGTTTGGACAATATTTCATGCCTTTATCTTGTACTCTGAGTAACCACTATGAATATAACAATACATGATGTATCAATTATCATTACTCTCCAATTATTTTGTTTTGAAAGTCTGGTTTTTTTTTCTCCTTTAAAAGAATTCTCACCTATATGCTGTTTGCAGAAAACACAATTTCAAGTATATCAAGACTTTTAAGTAAAGAGTGGAAAATGTATACAGTACCACAGGAATTTTATACAAAGGAAAGCTGAAGCACTTTAACACTGAAAGTATACAGATTTGATAGAAGACTACATCATGATGCAGAGAGTCAATCTAACTAGAAGGTATATGTCTTAGTTACTGTTTCGTTGCTGAGACAAAATACCCAACTCCAAAATTTAAGAGAGAAAAGTTGATTTAGCTCACAGTTTGTAGAATTTGCAGTTTGTAGCTGGCTCCTATAGAGGGTGGCATGGTAGACAGGATTGCAGAGGAGAAACAGTTTATGGCAAAGCAGGACAGGTAGACAGCAGCAAATGACAAGCAAGGGACCAACTACAGGTAACTAGCAGCAAGCCTCTTTCTGTACCTTACATTGTATTCTAAGGGCAGGTGGCATTCATAGCCTTAATCCCAGCATTGCGCCATGAATCAGTCACACACTTGAGATTCAGCCACCTCTGAGAAATCCACACTTATGATTACATGAGGCTTTGAGGGGGACACCTAGACATAAGCCATAACATTCTTCCCCTGGCCCCCAAAAGACTCAGGCACATCTCTTTATGCCAAAGACATTTAGTCCATCTTTAAGAGTCTCCACGGTCTTAACAATTTTAGCACTGCTACAGAGTCTTAAGTCTAAAGCTTCCTCCAAGATTTAAGGCAGACTCTTAGCTACAAGTCCCTGTACAAATGAAAAGAAAGTTAAACACTTCCAACATTTCTCTAATAGAATCCTTTGATGTCGTGCATTTTACTTCTAACATAATTTTACAGATTTTGGCTTTGAGCATTTTACTGTGTTTTAAAGAAAACTTTGTGTATTTTCCCCACAAACATGGTGTAGTTAAAGTGGATTATTTTAGAGTACGATCAATTTTGGTTGCTGGAAAGCAACAAAAACATGTATACTTTAATCCCACTCCTAATACACACAATTTGAATTTTTGATGTCACTATATTTTTATAGTGTTTATTCTTTAACAAATTATCAGTTATTACCTATATTTTGTCATTACACTTCCTCCTAAATTAACTTACATGCCCTCAGTGTTCAGAAGATTGTGAATTTGACTAATTGTTTTGCTAGATACAGTAATCTTGGTTGGTAGTTCTTTACTTCACTGCTTTAAATATATCATTCTACACTCTTTTAGCCTGCTATGTTTCAGGAAATCTGAAAGTCATGCTGTTTGTTTTTAATTTGATGTTTCTTATCTCTTGCTGATTTCAGTATTCTTTGTCTTGGATTTTTAAGAATTTGATTGATGTACCTTGAGGAGATCCTCTTTGAATTGCATTCAGTGACCTCTGAGCTTCTCACACTGGGATATATATTTTCCTAGATTTGCCAAATTTTTAGCCAGCATTCTCTTAAATATGCTTTTTAGGTCTTTTTTTTTTTTCTGTCATCTCTTCCAGATACTTAAGAGTATACATACGGTAGTTTGTTTGATGATAGCCCACAATTCCTGTAGAACTTCTTTATTCTTTTTTTTTAATTATTTTCCTTATGTTATATATGTCCTGCCTTAGAGTTAACTGATACTTTCCTCTGAGTAAATGTGCGGTCAAAAATTTCTACTGAGTTTTTCCATTCAGTTATTCTATTTTTTATTTCTAGAATTTCTTTATTATTATGATTATAAAGAGGTAAAAAAACAGAAAAGGGTAGAAATAATACAGAATTTCAGAAAAATAAACAGTAATAAATCATAGTTGATAAGTTACACACTGTCATCTTAGAAACAGTTGTTCAAGTACAAAATTAAAACATACAAAGTGACATTCAAATAATGACACTGCAAACAGTTCTGCTCAATGTCAAAAAGTTAGTAATATGGTTATCAGTCCTACACACTTGTTTTTTCTCTTAAAGAGGGTAAGATTAAACATGACAGAACAGAACAGTTCATAACGAAACAATTTAAAGAAACACAGATTTCAAAGCAAGTCTGCTGGAGATCTGTCTATCTTATTGTCTCTAGTTTTCTTCCACATAGTTTGTCCCCATCTTCATACACATTGAACATATACTGAGCATTATAGAACCAATCAAGTCATTACAGGATGATGAAGTCTTTTTAGGTCTTCAAGACCTGATTTTGGGAAGTCAATAATGGCTACCATAATATCTCTCATTCTCTTCGTAGTAGCTGTCTTTATGTGCTGAAATTGAACATAATAGACTAATATCACTAATCACTCTGAACAGTGAATAATAGTATTGCTAGATTTTATATCATAGTGCTACAGAATTAGCACTGGGTTTCTTAGTGTCTCTTCTTTAGAGTATCTATTCATTACATTGTGTATTATATAATCTGTTCCTGCAAATAGTTTAGAAATTCTTCCCATGTGTGAATCTCTACATGTATATCTATCCCTTCTGTATTTTAGGGAAAAACAGATCAAAACAAGACAACAAAACAAATTCCTAGAAAAACATGAAATGAAAAAGACATATAAGACCACAATATTAGGTAACCTACAGTAGTTACTATGCCTTCTCTTGTTATTTTTAATAGAATTGTTCACACCCTCAGGCATTATATAGTTAAGCATAGCATTACATAGCTATTTTTATAAAAATTCCTTTGGAGTCATTGTAGGACTTGAAAGCAATTAATAATCAAAACCAGAATGGATATCTTTTACATCTTGTCATCTTCAGAGTAGTTGCCTCTACTCTTAGACTTGATACTATCAAGCATACCAAATTCAAATAAAACCAGTCAAGGCAAAATAACGGTCTAACAAGCCAGCTTCAAATAAGATCAGTCATAGTAAGACAATGTAAGTAATACAGGGTTTCAGTTTAAGTTAGTAGGAAATTAAGGATAGATACCATGGTATAATCTGGTATTTTTTGGTTAGCTGTCTGTGCCCTCAAATCTCATATGAGTAGACCAACTGGAACAAAATATAATCAAACTAAACAGAGTGATAAGACTACTGTGGCTTTTAAATCCTGATATACTTTTAACAGTGTCCTCTGCCTTCCTTTTTGAGGCAATTCTTCACCTTTCCCATTCTCAGGATGCTTTGTATATTTTGGATCCCACTAGCTCCTTTAGTTTTTAGACTAGGGGGGTCAACCGCTTATCTATCTGAGTGTTGCTGAACCTTTTTACCCCTGAGCTTGATCTTGAGCTGTACTCCTTTACTTACTAAAGCCACAAGGTTTTCCTTCCTTCCAGCTGTGTAGTTCTACACTGCACAAAAGTGTCATAACTTTCCAACCTATCTGTGGCTGCTGGATGAGTTGTCCCTATTTCTCTCTGGTTTCCTGTCACATATAGCATTGTTTTCTCATCTTTGACTTTCAGTTTATTAACCCTCTTTCAGGTTGAGTGTATTTCCTATTCAGAGCCTCTCTATGGATCCTGCCTCCTGATCTACTCTGCCTGTGTTTCTTTTTTGTTAGTGTATCAAGGCTATCTATATTAAAGATTATAGCTTACCATCTCTGCCTCATCTCTGCTATTCTATTCTTCTGCTATTATTTGTCCAGTTTACTCCTTCATTCCACTGTCTGCCCCATTCATTGAAGCCTCTCTGTCATTGTTACTGGAATCCTGATATTTTTTCATCTCTCTCTCTGGAATGTCCTTCAGTATTTTTTGTAGTGTTGGGTTGGTGGCCATGAACTCCCACAGTTCCTCCTTGTCTTGGAAATATCTTGTTTCTCCATTAATTTTGAGAGAGAGTTTTTCCCAGTACATTAGTCTTGGTTGGAGGTTACTTTCTTTCAGGGCTTGGACTATTCCCCTCCAGGATCTTCTCGATTTAAGAGTTTGTGTTGATAAGTCTGTCGTTATTTTGATGATTTTTCCTTTGTAGGTGATCTGCTTCTTTTCTCTGGCCGCTTTTAATATTCTGTTCTTGTGGTGGATTTCTGGAATCTTGATTATTATATGTCTGGGTGTAGATCTATTTTGGTTGTAGGTGGCTGGAGTTTTGTATGCCTCATTTATCTGGATATCATTTCTTTTTCCTATGCTTGGGAAGTTTTTCTTAATTATATCTGTGAATGTCCTTTGTAGTTCATTTGTAGTTACTCCCACTTCCTCACTCACATTTTTTATTCTTAAGTTATAAATCCTCCTTTTGTCTTCTAGCCTTTGAATTGTTTCTTCCTGGTTCCTTGTTATTTTTAAGAGATCTTTTCTTTCATGATCACATAACATAAATCTCTCTTCAAGTTTCAAAAGGTTAACTTTAGTTTCTGTCAAGGTATTTTGACAGCTTTTCAATGAAGTTTTTAG